GATGTAATTAAATAACATCTAGAATTAAAAAGTGAATTTTTATTAAGGTAATATTATAAAAAATAACTATTTAAATTAAAAATTAATTTATTAAATATAATTAAGCTTCAATGGTTTAGATGAATAAGCAATTAAAACTCTCAATAAAAAGTTTTAGAATTTCCATAAAAATATAAAATATAATTTTGATTTTTATTTATAGCTTTTTTAAAAAAAATAGAAATACAATTTTCATTCGCACTATATATATTTTAAAATTATTTATGAATATTAAATAATAATTCATTTTTTTATTCAATTGAATATATTTTTATTCTAAAAAACTAATTATTCTTTTTGGTCTATTATTAAAGTTGAATTTATTTTCTATTTAAAAGTATTTATGATAAATTATTTCTTTTATTTTTAAATTATTCCTAATAAAATTTCATCGGAAATTGTAAATTATTTGTTTTCTTATTAAGTTCTAACTTATATTTTCCATTCTAGCCCAACTCTTAAAAATTTCGCATCTCCTTATACTTATTAATTAATTTTTACAGGAATATGTTTAAAAATTTATTAATTTTAAAGTGTTTTCTTAATATTTTATATTGCCTAATCTCTTTAATTTACTTAATCTAAGATTTTGTTTTCGACATCATTTTAAGTTTCTTTTTTATTTTCATCTTAATGATATTTATTATTTTCTTAAATTAATTTTTCTTCTTAATTTTAAATCACATGTTATTAGTTATTTTTTTATTATTAATTGTTTTCTTCTTATATTTATTATTATTAAATCTAAGATTAGTCAATCTTTCCTTAAGATATTTTATTACTTTTTTAAGGATTATATTTATGATAGGTAATTTAACTTTCTTGTTTTGGGATAAATTAAATTGAATAGTGTTTTTAATTTTAATTATAAGTTGCTTCATTTGTTTCTTATTTTTAAAAAGATACTGCTTTGTTTTTTGGTGATAAGGCTTTATATTTTTAACTTTTTATACTAATAATTGAAATATTAGAATTATTTTATGAAACTTGATTCTATTAATTATTTTATTTTTATTTTTTATTATTTTCATCTTCTTTTTTATCTATTTCTTTATAATTAACTTCATATTCTTTAGTATCAATTAATTATTTCTATATATTGATATCTAGATGAATTTTACTAAATTAATTTTATTCTTCTTATTATTTTTGCTTTTCATCATTTTTTATGAGCGATTTTTTTTTCATTAGAGGCTTTTGTCCATTTTATTGGCTTTATTATTGATTCTATAATATTAAACTTTAAGAAACAAATTTTGAGTTTTCTTCTTTATTTTAAATTTATGAAATATACTAATTTTAAGATAAAGTTAAACTTTTCTAAAATTTTTGGTTTTTGTTAATTTTTTCAAAACTTTATTAACTAATTTTGTAAATAGTTTAATATTTTTAGTTTTTAGTTATTTTCTCATCATCTTCGTCTTAAATATTTTCAGGATTTTTTACAATACTTTTTTGACTTTATAAATCTTCATTTACTACTTTTACTACTTTTAATACTTTGTCTTCTTTTTCTTATTATTATGCATCTTCGTTTCCTTTTATTCTTTATTCTTCTTTATAGGTTAACTATTATTATTCTCTTGTTTCATTATTATTTTCTTATTGCTACTTTTTATATTTATTAGAGTTTTCTAAATCTTCTTATATTTTAATATTTTCTTAAGATAATAATTTTGAAAGTTGACCCGAACGTTCTTGATTTTGAAAATTTTCAAGTTAACTCCTAAATTACAAATCATAATATTCTCTTAAATTTTATTCTTCTTATCTCATTAACTTTTCTTTGTTTTAAATTTAATTTTAAGATTGTGCATCTTAACTAAAAACACTTTCTTTTAATATTATTGTTTACTAAATTTAATTATTTTCAAGCGAAAAATGTTCATCACTATCATCTGCAATCATTTGACTACTTAATCCTTGTTTTTGACTAAAAACTGAATTTTATTTTTATTAAATTTCTTTATCTTATTGTTCATAATTTAATTATTATCGTTATGTTTATACTTCTCCATTATATTCTTCAAATTTTTAATTATGTTCTTCAAAATTTTAATTATACTCTTCAAGTTATTAGTTAATTGTTTGATCATTTTATTTACTTTCTTTTTTGCTTTTCTATGAATTGTTTTCTTATTATTCTTAATTATATTCTTTGTTTTTATTATTATTGTGTTAATTTAATATTTCGATCTCTCGATTCATATTATTTGATTTAATAAATTATATTTAATCATTTTTATTGCTATTTTTTTAAAAAAAGTTAGTATTTTCTTCTTAATTAATATTACTAATATCTAACTAATAAGTTTTGCTTTATTTAATTTAATTTTTTTTAATTTAAAGAGGTTAATTTAGAGATATTTATTTCACTATTTAGTTTTTTTAGCTTATTTATTATATAATATCTATTTAATTATTTTAATTTTCATTATTAAAGTTAATTTATTAATTAAGAAAAAACTCTTCATTTAATAAAATTTATAAAGGATTTTCTTTTATTTAGAAACATTCTTCTATTGGTTTTTTGCTTTAAACTATATTGTTAAATATTTGAGAACTAATTATTAAATTAGAAAAATAGTTATTTTATATATTTTAAATATTTATTTTATATTTAAGGCATTTGGCTTATTAAATTGTAAATAAATATTTATTTTTGAGTATCTAATTATAAATAAACTTTTTATTTTTTCTCAAATAGTTTTTACGGAATAAGCTAATTACTTTTTAAATTGCAAATTTCTATAAAGCGTCTTTTTTCCATTCAAAAATTCCTTCCTATTCTTTTATCTCAAACTAATTTTTTAAAATTAAAAAATAATACTATTTTTATTCATAAAAATAAATAAATACATAGTTTAAAAATTAGAAAGCTTCTGATAATTAAAGAAAATGAGTAGAAACGAAGTTAGGAACAATTAAAAACTTATTAATTTTAGGAAGTTTAATAGATTTTCTTATTAAAGATTACAAAGAAATATAGTATATATTATTTTAAAATGAATATAAGAAAGTAAGAAGAAATTAATTTTTAAGATTTGTTAAAAACTTTTTTTAAGAATGTATTTTTATTTTTTATTTCAACAAATTTTTAAGTTGTAGTTTTTGATTGATTTTTTCATTTATAATTTAAGTTGAAATTTCCTTTTTTCTTTGTTCCTTCTATATAAAAATATTTTCTTTAAAAGAAAAATCGAACTCTTTTTCAAAACTAAACTTTTTTTGAAGAATTTATTAAAGATAATATTTAGCATATATTTTATGAACTTATAAATAAAGTTTTTGATAATTATTTTTCTCTATTTTGACATAATAATCTTCTTTTTATTTATTTAATATTTGAAATAATAATGCAGGTTTATTAGGTATTAATTTTTAAATTAGTGTCTGTTTCTAAATAATACTTTTTCTATGGAAATTTTGTATTTTAATAGCCGAAAGATCTTCTTTTTTTATAAAAACAAGTTTTTTATTTTCTTTTAATTCAAAAATTTAGTTTAAATTATTTATATTTTATTTTATATATTTAGTTTCTTGTTAATTAGTATTATAAAATGATATTTTTTTAAGCTTATTTTTTTCAATAACATATATTTTGGCATTGAAAAATATATCTTTTTAATAAAATATAATCTAATTGAAATTATCTAAATTAGAAACTCTTATACAATGATTTTTTTTTGTAGGTTTTTTGTATCTATTATAATTAATTTAAGCAATTTTTTTTTTAAAAAAGAGTTAAATTATAATAAAATATTCCGTTTTTTCAATGAATTAATTATTTTTTATTTTAAACTATTTTTTATTTTATCAATAAAATATTAAATTTGGGAATACTATTTTTAATAAAATATATTATATTACATATTTGGAAGGGTTTTTTTCAATTTTTAATTAGTCAATATACGAGAAAATACATTTTTTAATAGGTTTAATTTTTTTTTTTTTTTTTTTTTATTATAAATAGAGGATCTGCAGTCAAAAAGTACTGATTTTAGAATTAGAAAAAAGTTAAAAAAAGATTTTTATTTTAAAGAAGAGAATAGTTTTTTTAAATAAAAAAGAATTATTTTTAACTTAATGTTTATTAAATTAACTTTTATTATTTAAAATAAACTTATAAAAATAAACAAGAATTAATATATTTTTAAGAGAATTAATCTTTAATTATTTTAGGAAAAAAATGTGTATTTTTTTCTAAAATAAATCCTTTATTATCACTTTAAACTTAAATTTTGTAGGAAATTTCTTAAATTTCATCAATAAAATCCATTTTATTTGTCCAATTAAAATTTTAAAAATCAAAATTTTAAATTAACTAATTTAATATTTCTTAATTATTTTATTAGTTTTATATACAAGATATATCTAAATTCTTTCTTTCAAAAGTATTTCTTTTGCACTAAAATTAGATGAAAATTAAAATAATTTAATCTTTTATATATATTGTATTATAAAAATAAGTATTTTATTGCTAATATGACTATATTATTTCCAAATTTGGCTATTTTAGTAATTTTTCATTTAAAAACCTACATAAATCTAATATTTAGAAATAGTTTTTTTTATTATTTTATACAACAAATAACATAAAGTATTGTTACATGTGCAAAAAGAGATTTTCTTGATTTACTTTTATATTTATATTCGAATCATTTTCATCCCAAAATAAAATTTTCAATACATAACTTTCAAAAAGATTAACAATAACATCATATAGTTCATTTTCTGGAATAAAATCGAGGAAATTAGACACGTCTAAGAATATTTAGTATATCTTTTAGTTTTCTGGGGTAAAAAAAATATGTAAAATTTAAGATTAAGTATCAAAAGATGCTTATAAGGAACCGCATTAAGATTGATTTAATATATAATTTTGTTCAGTAAAAAAAATTATTAGGAAGACTATTTTAAAATAAGCTCAAGTTTAAGAATTTCTTCATTCTCTATATTTTTCAGTTTTTCAATTTATAATTCAATTTCTTTTTTTTATTGGATAATTTAATTTAACTTTAATTGTTCTATATTATTATTGCTTATGTTTGATTATGAAAAATTATTTTATAATAATTATTATACATCTTTTTAAAAATATTATGTATTATATGTATTTTTCCTACTATTTGTTGAAGAAGATCTTATTTTATTAAATGAACTTTAAAATTTTCTGGTAACATAGTTATTACTATTACTATTACTATTATTATTATTATTATTATTATTATTATTATTATTATTATCATTTTTTTCTTTTTTATTATTTGTTTAATTTGTTTTATGATATTTTAATGCTGCTGTATATGCCCCTGTTTTTCTTGCATTTTAACTTGAAGATTTAAATTTAATATTTCTATTCTCGAAATCATTTTTATTAATTAAGTTATTTTTTTAATTACTATTATTGTTTGATATATTATTTTATTTTATTTAACATTACGTATCATTTATGTAGTTATTGTATGATATTTTTTTTATATTGTCGTTTATTTATATTTTATTGGAGATTTTATTTCATTTTAGAATTCTTAATCTTCTCTCATATATATTAGTTTTCTACCTGCAGATTTCATTCTTAGTTTTGGAATATTATTTAGACTTTTAGGAATATATACTTATCTTATTTCAATATTTTTTTTGTCTATATATTTTTTTGGCTATTGTTAATTAATGTTCTGTATTTGCTGTTTTTTATATTTCGAATCCATGAAAAGTTTTAAAATTTAGTTAAATTTTTACTCTAGTTTTTCATTTTTACCTTCTCTTGAAAATAGGACAGCCCTTTAATAATTTGCTTCAGCTTTTTAAATATTTTAAAAGAATTCCTATTCGTTAGCAGCATTAAAATAAGCTAATGCAAGATTGTTACAAGTATAAATATACTCTTCATCTATAATTTTTTTTTCTTTCTTTTCTTCATATTGCTTTTCAAGGAATTATATTGCTCTTTCAGCATTTTTAAGAGCTTATTAATGTTCTCCTATTTAATTTAGTACTGCTGAAATATTTAAATATGTCAATCCAATATATTAAGTACAATTATTTTAATTTTATATTGTAATTGCTTTTTGCAATGTTTGGAGAGAAGTAGAAAAATCTTTAACTCTTTTGTAAAAACAACCTAAATTATTTAATGTTAAAGCCCTTAAAGATACATAAAATTTCATTTATGTATTTTTGGTATTCTAGGAACAAAAATTCAGTAAATTTTTGGCTTTTTCAAAATTATTATAATTCATATTATATACTGATAGTTTATTTAATACTTTTATTAATGTATTAAACATAAATTCAAATTATTCTTCGTCTAAGCTTTAAATTTTTTCTTATAGAACTATTTATATTATTATTATATATATTTTATAAAATTTGATTTAACTTTTTACTTTATTATAATTCTTAAAGAGGTATTTGAATTTCAGATTGTTCTTTTATTTATTATATTATTTTGTTTAAATTTTAATTTAGTTCATCTAAGCTATATGACTAATTTTTATTAGACATTTATAGCTTTTATTAATTATTTTACATATTTTTTTCTTTTATTTTTTAATTAAATTAAATAGTTTTTTGTTAATAATTTTTTTTTAGTCTTTTATTTATTTTTTGGTTAAAAAGTTAGTTATTGTATATATATATTTTTTTTGAATTAAATGTGTTCCATATTTTTTTGTGTTTTATTTTTTAATATAGATATAAAATTAAATAATTATAATAAAATTTTCATTTTAAAAACTATTTTTTATATGAAATATATATAATTATTATTGATTAATATAATCGAATTATTATATTTTATATGGAATTCTAAATTAAAAAATAAAAATAATTGTTATAGATAAAAAAATTAATTGAATCAATATTACTTTTAATAAAAATTTTTAATAATAAATAATATTTATATAATATTAATTTAAATTTATTAAAAAATCATTTTTTATTAACCTTAATTTTTTTATTACTTTTTATTTCTTTTTTAATTGATTCTTTAACTTTTCCAATTTAATTAAAAAGAATTTTTGTAGACTAATTAACATCATCGTTAAAGACTTTAATGATTTGATTTTTTTATTAATTAATATCATCTTTAATTTTAATTAGAATTTAATTTAAGTGTTAAATATCAATAGTATACTAAGATTTTAGTATTTTCAAAGAACTTTTATTATTCTTACCATTTTATACTATAAACTTATTAATGGGTAGAACACTTTATTCTAACTTTAGTTCAAATCTTTTAAGCTTTTCTTCATATAAAACATAGTAGTTATTTAAAGAAACAACTTCAGCTTAAATTTAGCTTGAAAATTATTCTTTGAAATATTTTTTTAGATTTTTTATGTTTTCATTTAGTTCTTCTTACATTTATTATTCTTATTATATTTAAAAATAAATATAAACTTTGTTAATTTTTACTTTTATATTTTTAAATGTTTAAGTATTCATTTATAATACTATTTTTCTATTACAGTTGAAAGTCTTGTATAGAGTTTTAATTTGTTAAAATTTCTTTCTGTATATTTTAATTAGAATTTGTGTTTATGAAAGCATTAGTATTATTATTATTATTATTTTTTAAGGATAAATCTTATAAATATTATATATTTTCGTTTGATTATGGTTGTATTTTATTTACAAAAGCATTACTAAAGGAATTATTAATAGAATTATTTTAAGAGATACAAGAATTAGATATTTTATTAGCCTTATTTTATAATATAAACTTGTTAAAATACATTTTTTAATTTATTTTTTTTTAACTAAAATATAAAATAAATTAAATTTATTTAGCTAAAAATTATTAATATATATATATATATAATTAATTTCAATAAAAATATTGAATTAATAAATATATTATATTAATCATTAAGATTTTTGTAAACATAAAAGTTTTTTTTATATAAAGTTGATTTTAATTTTATTAATCATTATAAATATTCATCAACAGTGAATTAATCTAATTAAAAATAATTTTCATAATTCATTTTTTATTTATTTAAATCATTAAATTCTTCTTCATTAGAAATTTATTACTATTAATACTTTTTAGATATATTAATTTAAGCAAAATCATAACTAATATTATGTTTTTAATTTATATTTAAATCCTGAATCATATGATAGAAATCATTTTCTTTATCAAATTCATTAGAATCAAATTATACACATGATTAAGCTACTGTAAAATTTTTAATAAATTAAAAATAAAAAAATATGTAAATATATAATAAAGAATATATAATTGTGAATTTATTATTTACTTTTATTTTTATTATATTAATTTATAGTTGTTTTTCCTAAATTTTTTTAACATTTTATTATATTTTAGCTTTTTTATTAAAGAACATAATTTTCATTATTTTAAAATTAGTTTTTATTATTAAAAATTTCATTTTTATTTTAAAATTTATTTCTAACTTAATTAATTTATTCATATAGATTTTTATTAAATTGTAATGGCGAGTTTCTTTCTATTTTATTAAAAACTTATTTTTTGTTTTAGTTTTATTGCAAAGTTAAAAATACTTATATATATTTTTCTTGTTCTATTGATAAATCATTCATATAAATCAAATGTAATTATGAATCTTATTTATTTAAAGGAAATTATATCTAGTTTATTAATTCTTATATCAAATTATTTAATTAATTTACATCATTTATTTATTCTTATAATTACTATGTTTATTAGTTTGCATTTTAAAAGTATTACTCTATGGTTTCCTTAGCTTTTATGATGTCTATTTAGGGAATTATTATTATGAGTTTTTATAATATATTATATATTGTGTTATTATTGTTCATATTATTCTTTTTACTTTATAATAATAAAATTTATTTTTATTTACTTTATTAATAAAATATTTTTGTTGGTTAAATTATAATTTCATATTATGTAATCTATTAATAAATTAACTATTTTTATTTTATAATTTTTATAAGTTTTTTTTATTTTCATTTAATTAAATTATAATATTTTATATAAAAAATATTTTTTTTTCATAAATTATTATTATTAATTTATTTCATTCTATATTTGAAACAAAAGCTTACACTATTACATCTTATTTTATATTATAATTTCCAATTTTATGATGATCTAACATTTCTCTTCCACCAAAAAATAATCTAAATCTTTTATATTCGTTTTATATGATAATTTGAGCTTTTTTTTTAAAATCTTAAATTGTTTCAGAGTTCTAAATTTATATTTAAAAGTCTTTATCAAACCCAATAACCCTTAAAAAAAACTATGTTTTTTTGGCAAAATTTAAACGAATTCTATTTTTGTTTTTACTTATACATTCTATACTTAAAAATTTTAAGTAATATATCGTTCTTTTTTTGAGTATTAAGCATATTCTAAAGGTTCGTTTATTATGAAAATTGGTAAATCATATTTATGTCCTTTTTATAAAAAACAATTAAATGTAAAAATAATTAATTATTTTATTAAATTTAATATTAATAATAATAAATAACAATAATTATTAAATTTCTAAACCATTTTTATCATATGTTATTTATATTGATCCTTTAATTAGTTTTATTCCACCATTTAAAAGAGTAGCTAAAGCTTTTGCTATATATTATCAAAAATATGTTAAAATATTTTTTTATTTATTATTAATTTTTTAATAAAATTATACATTCTTCTAAATCAAGAGCTTTTCTTAGCAAATTCCAAACCTATTATTATCCTTCGACTCTAGTTCCTTTTTTATTAATTTATATATCAATATAAATTAATTAAGTATTTAAATATATAATACCCCAAAATTCTTCCCTTTTTATTATCATTTCTTGTTATGTTAGGCATGTTTTATATGAAACAGTTTTTTTAAAACCTACTCCTGTATATTTTTCTTTTATTACTTCCTGAAAGGATTCATATTTTTTATTAACATTATATGGATGATTTATATTTAATATAGGACCAAAATCATGATTTACTTAGTATTCAAATTGGTTTCTTTACCTATTTGATTATTAATTATTTTAACTTCTATTTTGTTATTAATTAGGTTTATTTGTCATGCAACCCATTTTATTTGATTTTTAAGAATAAATTAAATTTTAATAATAATATTTTATTAGATTTAATTTTTAGAATAATTTAAAAATTATTTTGAAGTTTTTTTAATATAATTATAAAAAAATTCATATAAAAAAACTATATATCAAAGTAAAAACTATATTTATTTAATTTGACTATTTGAATAATCATAGTCAATAATATACAAAAATTTATATTATTTATTTTAAATATACTTATTTAAACTTTTATATACTAAAATGCATATTAATAAATTTATCAAAAATATTAAAATATCACAAATATTCATATTTATAAAAAATATAAAAGAATTTTAGTCTTTTCATTCATCATCTTCTTCATTTTAGCTTGCTTATTTATAATAAGTCCATTATTAAGTAAATTAAAGATCTTATTTTTTAGCATGTCCTAAGTTAAATTACATAGGTTGATCTGGTATTTTCAATAGTTTAGGTTTTATACATTCGTATTTTCTTAAAATAGATAAAAATAATATAAATATAATATATATAAAATAAATTTACTTTTCTAAAACTAATTACCAATCAATATCTTTAAACCAATGATGTTATTTAACTTCTTATGCATCGTTTTTATATCCAAGCCTTTTATTATAATTTTTTTTCAATAACTTTTTAAATGATAAATTAATAATATTTAAAAAAATAAAAAATACTCCAATCAAAATATCCTTACTTTCTTGAGGTAAAGATTTCGGTAGTCTTAAAGGAGCTGTTTTAATTTCATTATATAATTTATCATAATCTGTTGAAAAATAAGGAGGTCTTCCAATAAGCATTTCATATATAATAACACCTAAACTATACCAATCAACCATTTTATTATGTCCTGTTTTGTCAACCACTTCGGGTGGTAGATATATTGGAGTTCCACAAAAACTTCCAGTTAAATTATTTGCACCTTTTTTACATAACCCGAAATCAATTAATTGAAGATTTCCATCTTGATCAAGTACTAAATTCTCAGGTTTTAAATCCCTGTAAATAATATCCTTATTATGAAGTTCCTCTAAAGCTAAAACAACTTAACTTGCCCATATTTTAATGTACTTTTCTTCTATTTTTATATTTTCCGCTAGGATTCTTCCCAAATCCCCTCCTTAAACTTTTTTTTTTGTTAAGAAAATAATAATTTTAATTTTTAAATTTAAAAAAATACAAAAATCCATTAAAATAAATAAATGTGTGTCATTTTAAAACGATAAATTTAATTTTGCAATAAAAGGATGATTAAAAGATTACATAATTTACTTTTCTGCTTATATATATTTATCCATTTTTGTTTTTTTAAGCATTTCTTTTTTCAAAACTTTTAAAGCATAAAGTTTATCGTTTTTTAAAATTTAAGATTCTTAATTTTAATACAAAACACCTTCTTTAAAAGTAACTAAAAAAACTTCTCCAAAAGCACCTTCTCCAATCGATCTGTAAAAAATAAAATCTTCCAAAGAAATTTTCTTTTTTAATTTAAGTTCTGCTTTTTACTCTGGTTTAATTTAATTTATTTTATTATTATCATTTTAAATTTTTAATTACTCAATATATTCTTATGTGACGGTTTCTTGTTTTATTAATTAATTTTGTGTTTTTTCGATTAATTTTAATATATATTTTTTTTAATAATTAATTTTTTTTTAATTATTTTCTTCAAATCTTTTTTCTTTTTATTAATTCTAACATATTTTTACTTTTTATAATAAATTTGAAATTCGATCTTTTCTTGAATTTTAAACGAGAAAGTTGCTATTTTCAAATTAGCTTCTCGAATAAAAATCATTATTAATCAGTGTATATTTACTTAAAAACATTTATTTAATACATTTAGAAGTCGTAACTTCGAAAGGAGTAAAATTTTAAATGTTTTTAAGATGAATATTTGCATCAAAATTTAATAAAACTTCTACACATTTTTCACTATTATTTAAGGCTGCAAGAAACAATGGGGTGCAAAGCTAATAGTCTTAAAAATTTTTTAGACTTGAATTATTTTGGAGTATAAATTATATAATATTTGCATTATTATAAATTGCCGCATAATGTAAACCGCATCTTTTTGTTTATGGATTTATAGAGCCCAAATTACTTTGAAAATCTATTACTAATTTTTTCATTAACTCATATTTTCCGCTGTTACAACATTCTAAAAATGCATTCATTCCATTATCATTTCTTTTTTTTTGTTTTTTTTGTTTTTTTTTTTTTTTTACTTTGTATCTATATTTAATGCATTTAATTTATATAAATGTTTTTATATTATTTATGAATCTGCAACATTTTTTTGTATCGATAATATTAAGTCATTTGCTATTTCTTTTTAGGCATTTAAATTCATAGATACATTTGTTTGACTTTTTTCAAAATCACAACTATTTTCAATTATAAAATCTGTCAATATTTTCTCAGTTATTTCTTCGTTGTATTAAACAAAAGAACCTATCATATATTCCTCAAAAAACGACATTTCTTCGGATTAATAATGATCAGATTAATCATATATTGATTCATAATCTTCTGAGTCAAATCGAAATTTGGAATTATGCATATTTTTTATTTAATGTATATTAAAAAAATAGTTTATTTATTTGATTTAATAAAACTTATTTTTACATTAAATTTTTTTATTGTTTAATACAAGATTTTTTTTTTTAATATTAATATAAATAATAAATTAGAATTTCTTTTTGTTCTATAAATATATATATTAGAATATATAATATATATATATTATATATATATATATATATATATATATTTATAAATTAATTTTTCTTGATTATTTAAAATATATATTTGTATATATTTATAATATTTTTCTTTTTTCAAATTAACTTGTTAGTATTAATTAATTCATTAAAATTAATTAATTATTTAAAGTCTTAAATAAAAATTTAATCTCTTTAACTAAAAGATTATTTTTAGTCAATATCTTTTTAAACATAATCAATTAAGCAATTTATTACAAATGAAATTAAAATCTAAAAATAAAAGTTATTTATTTTAGTATATTTATTAAATATTTAAACAAATTATTAATTTTAATCCAAAACAAATTTAAATTTTAAATTTTCTTATAATTATTAAATTTGTTAAATTTATAAATCATTATTATTTGATTTAATTTCAACACTTATAACAGAATAATTATACTTAAAGTAAAAATAACCGTTTAAACCTTAATTTGGATAAAATTAAGCATAAATATTTTAAAAATCTATTTATTATTAAATTTATATAGGAGTATTTTAAGCTAAATATATAATTCTTTTAAATACATTATAGTCTTTTATATTTTTATTATTATCGTTATTATATTATAAGACAGAACCTAAATATAAATTAAAATTATTTTAGATTTACAAATAAATGTCTTCTTCAAATTTCAAAAAATCTATATTATTATTAAAGTTAAACTTTTAATTTTTAATTTCAAATATAGACTTTACATAATTTTGAAAAAAATTGACTTCATTTTTTACTTGACTAATCCATATTATCCAATTAATAAATGGAGCTGTATGTAAATACTTTTTTTCTATATCTGAACCTTGGCATGCTGATGGAACTTCTCCTTTTTGAAGAGTTTAAAAATAAGAATGTTTACAGCCTAAATCATATTTAGTAATTAAATTATCAAAAACTTATTTTAGCTAAAAATTGGAAAAAAATAAAAATATTTATTTTTTATATATAAGTAAAATAAAATACTGATTTAGCTTGGTTATTTTAAGGTTTTTTAAAAAAGAAATTAATATATAAATTTTATTATTAAAATTTTTAAGCAATTTTTTAAAATTAAAGCTTTTATTATTATTATTATATATCTATACTTTAAATTAGTACATCAATTAGTTTTTATTATGATAATAAGATATTATTAAGAGAATATTCTAAAGTATAATTTTGAAAATCTTAAAATGTATTAATTTAAAAAATCTCATATTCATTTAATTAATACTATATTTATTTCTCCAATATTATAAAATAATAAATAAATTAAGAAATAAACGAAAGCTAGCTTATTTCAATTAAAAAAATATCATTTTAATCCAAAAAAATATCCAATTCTTATTAAAACTGAGCTAAATTATCAATAAATGAAAGATTTTATTATTATTATAAAATTTATTTTTACTTAGGTTTTTCTATCATTTCTTAAAGAAATTATGCATTAATATTAGGAGTTGCTTATTATGAAAATTTATATTTATTTATAAATTAATTGAAATCTCTACCTATTTAATTATTTATTATATTATATATAGAAACAGCTGCTTCTTTATAATTTTTTGAGCATAAGTCCAATAAATTGACTATTTCATTTAAATCGTAAACTGACTTTTGCTCAAATATTAAAATGTCTTTCTTTAAATAGTTTTTTAGATTGTTAAAATAATAATTAGAATCTTATCCATTTTAAATTTTGTTTGTTTTTTGTACGGAAGATTCTAATTATTCCTAATAACTTATTTCAGATTTATATTTATCAAGTAATTTTTTATCAAAAGAGATACTACATTATGTTATTTAAGGTAAATAATTATGGATTTATTAATCTTAAAAATGCTCTTTTATTTTTAGTTTTTTATCATTTTAATAATTTTAAATTTTTTAATTATTAATTTAATTTGATTCTCTTTTTATTTATTCAGATTAACTTTATATTTAGTTTTATTGGATTTAAAATTTATTTACTTAATTATTTTAAACATTTTATATCCCTTAATGAATGAGTTTAATATTCATTTTTTTATCTAAATGATAGTTTATTAATATTATAAATTTAGTTTTCAAGATATTTTTTATTTTTTTAATTATTAATATAATAATAAATAGAATTTTAAAATATTATACATACATATAGAAATTAATAGATAAATAAAAAATATATAAAATTATTAATAATATTTTTTATTTATTATTTTATAAATTTTAAAGAAAGATTTTAAATTAATAAAATATTTATATTTTAAAATTAAGAAAAATAATTAAATAAAAAAAAAGTAATAGTTATAAATAATTAAAATTTAATTTATTTATTAATAGTATTTTATTTATCATTTATGTTTTTATTTTATTGAATATTTATATTATTATTATTAATATTTTTTTAAAAAAAAATTAATTATTTATATTTATAAATATAACAATTATTTTATATTTGTTTTATTTCTAAAATTTAGATATCTTTTTTATTTTTATTTTTATTATAAAAATATTAAAATATAAATCTAAGTATTAAATATAAAATAATTTTAAAATATTCTTTTAAATAATATTTTATTTTATATTTAATGTTAATATAAATAAATATAATTAATATATAAAAATTCCAATTATTTTAAAATGTACTATTTACTTAATTTAATAAAACTCTTATTATTCAATCAATAATAAATTCCATTTTTTCTTAAGTTGCTGATGCAAACGCCCAATAAAACATACCCTGTATATTTTTTTAATAATTCTTTATATTAAAAAAATATTTATTATCATATTTTTTTTTAATATAATAAAATTATAAAAAAAAGATAATTTATTAAATCTTCTGAAGTGTGTATTTTTTTTTTTAAATAATGTGAATAAAATTATTTCATTTATAAAAATTTAAAAGAATAAAATATTGATGATTATATTTATTTAACAAAAAAAAATATAATATTAAGTTTATAAAAAACAAGAAAAATTATTTTACATAAATTATAAAAAGTAAATGAATTTAAGTTAAAAATAAAAATAAGAATGAATATATAAATAGTAACACTAAAATAGTTGATAAATTAGATATTACATAAATAAATAAGATAAATATTATAATAATAATTAAATATATAAGTATTTAACTTTTCAAGTTTATTTATATTAAGGTTTTTTTAACTATGACAAAGTTTATCTATAATTAATTTTTACAGTAATTATAATAGATTAATTTGAATAAAAAAAGCTTTAATTAGGTTGAATTAATAATTTCTAAAGTAAATCTGAAAAAATAATAGTAAAATGATAAAAATATTAGTTAATTATTTAAAATTCAAATTAAAAATAAAAAAAAGAAATATAATATATCAAAATAATTATTTTAGTTAATTTTTAAAAATAGGTTGTTTTGTTGTAAAATGTAAATAAAAATATAACGATAGTATATTAAAATATTTATAAATTAAAATATCACTTTAATAATTATGAAAGAAATTAAAGTAATGAATTCAACAAAACAATAAATAAATAAAATAAAATCTGAAAAATAATATAAAGTATTAAAAAATATAGATTTTATAATATTAAAAACTGAGATATATAAAATTTATAAATTCTCAGGATTTATAAAAATTTTATATTATTAAAAAAAAATCGACTATATTTAAAACTAATCAATTCATAATAAAACAAATACTTTTAAACTAAAATAAAATTATAAGCTTTTAAATAAAGTTATGAATGATATATATTTAATTTAAATAAAAAATATAAGTTTTAAAATTAGAATAATAATTTATTAAGTTTATTATATAAATTGTTTTAAATAAGTAATCTTTATAAATAAATATTTTAAATCTATATTAATTAAATGGAAATAATATTTTATATATAATAAAAAAAAAAGAAAAACGATTAATTAAATTTAATAGTATTCATATTAGATTAATCAATAAAAAATAAAACATTATAAGAAGTGTAATTTTTGTAAAGCGAATTATAAAAAGTAAAACAAATTATTAAAATTTTATATTATTATTTTAATGTTAGAAGATATTTAAAAGAAATTCAAAAAAAATATTTAAATGTGATTTATATAGATAACCTTTAAATACAATTATTATTAATGCACATTTTATGTACAATTTTCGTTTTCCTTGTTAAGAATAAAAGAAAATATTTAATAGATAGTTAATAATTAACTAAAATTTATAAATTATTTAATGAAATTATTGAAATATATAAATAATAAAATGAAATAAATATTTAAAAAGTTTCAATTTATATCAAAAAGTATAAAAAACTAAAATTTATATATTTATTAAATTACTCATTATCTATTAATATTTTTTTTTACTTTTTAAAATAAAAAAATAATTAAAAGGTGAAATTATTTATAATGCTAAAATAAAAATAATTAATTAGGATATAAAAAAATAAAAAAATAAAAGAATAATAATAATAATAACAAAAAAAAAAAAAAATTAAAAAATATGGTATATATTTAAAAATAATATTTGTTCTTTAAAAAAGTAAATATTTATTAAAAAAAAAAAGGTAAGAGGTCCTAAAAAACACTTAAAAAGAATATGTGCTCCTAAATCATGGATGATTAGCAAATTAGGAGGAATTTGGGTAATAAAAATAATTAAATATTTATATTTAAAAATAAAAAAAATAAAAAAAAAAGGTAACTAGACCTTCTTAAGGTCCCCATAAACTTAGAGAATCTTTGCCTCTTTTTGTTTTATTAAAGTAATAATGATAAAAATATAATTAATTAAAATTAAAAAATCAACTTTATATATATAATTGCAATAATAAAATTAATTTAAACAATATTAATAAAAATAAAAATTACAGGAATAGATTGAACTACGCTTTGAATGGAAGAGATGTAACTTTAATTTTAAATGATAAGGAATAAAACGTATTTGTTGACGGAAAATGCAGAAGAGACAGAAGTTTCCCTACTGGCCTTATGGATGTAGTAAGCATTCCCAAAACTGATGAATAATTCAGAGTTCTTTATGACACTAAAGGTAGATTTGTCCTCAAGACCCTTAACAAATAAGAAGCATAAGTAAAATAATATGAATGAAATAATATAATTTTTTAATTATTTTTTAAAAATAGTTCAAATTACTTAAAGTTAAAGGTAAAGCTATTGGTCCTAATTAAGTTCCTTATATTGTTACTCATGACTCTAGAACTATTAGATTCCCTAATCCCAACATTAAAATTGGTGATACAATAAAATACGATATTGTAAAAAATAAGATACTTGAATTTGCCCACTTAGAATCTGGTAATATATGCTTTGTTTAAAACGGAAACAACATCGGAAGAGTTGGTCTTATTACTCATATTGAAAAACACCCTGGTTCCTTTGATATTGTTCACGTTAAAGATACTAAAGGTAACTCTTTTGCTACCAGAATTGGAAATATCTTTGTTATTGGATAAGGAAAGAAACCTTGGGTCAGTTTACCTGAAGGTGATGGTATATACGAAACTGTTATGGAATAAAGATAAAGAAAATTCTCTCATTGATTTGAAAAGCAAAAAAAAATTATTTTTTTTTGTAAAATTATTATTACAAAATAAAATAATAATTATAAGTTAATATGTCTTATGTATTTCTTTTTTTTTTTCATATTTTTTTTTGGTTTTATTTAAACTTAAAATATTATTTTAAAAGAAATATTAGTAATATAAAAAAATTATATAATGATATTTTTTACAATTAAGTTAAATTATTTATTTATGAAATTATTATATATAGTTTAATTTTTATTCAAATATTTTTACTATAGTTTGTACATTTATTAAAGTTTATTACACAATTTTTTCATTAAAAAAAATATTAATAATTAGTCTTTTATTTTTTATAAAAATATGAAAAATATTTTAAATTATTAGAATAATATTGTTTTTAATTTATTATAAAATATTATAGATAAGTAAAAATTTAATAATATTTATGATATATAATTGTAATTTTATTTATTATTATTTTCAAAAAAAATATAAATAATATAATTTAATTTATAAATACTATATATTGAAAGCATATATATATATATTTATAATTAAAATATATTTTGCTAAAAAAAAAATGGTTTTTATATATTTATTAGTTATATTTTATTTATTTATTTATTTGTATTTAATTATAATCGTAAAAAATAATAATTTAATATAATTATATAAAAGTAAATTAATATTATGTTTTATAGGATAATTTTTATAATATAAAAATATAATTCATGTGCTAAATAATTAGATATTAAAGCAAATTTTTTGAAAAAAAATAGAAAAATAATATAAATATAACTCATAATTTTAGAGATAAATTAATAACAATATGTAAGAATTTTTGCCTAACAATAAATAAATACATAACTTTAAGAATTTTAGTAATCATATTTAATGTAAAAAAATAACAATTAATAAATGTTTTAAAAAACTATGTTTAAGACATTTATATAATTTATATATATTAATATTCTACATAAATTATTTATTAAATAATTTAGATTAAATATTTTAATTTAGATTTTTTTATTTATAATAATAACATATTTTATTAAAAATATTAATTAATTAAGTTTAAAATAAAATTAATATAATTAAAATTTGAAAATAGTAGATAGCTTTTTAGACATTACGATTATATAAACAAAAATAATATAAGATAGATTATCCAAAAATTCATAAAATTATGATTATTTACATTTGTATATAAAAATCGAACAAAAATTTGATTTTCCCAAACAATAAAATACTTAAATTATGTTGTTTTGTTAAATACTATATTTATTTTTGAAAAAAAAAAATATTTAAATAATCGTCAAAAATGAGTTTTAAATCATGTTTAATACATACATAAATATTTTAATTTTTGTATTTGTAGGAAATTATATTTGAAAAATAAAATGGAAATATTATAGAGATTATTAAGAAAATATAATTTTTATATTAAAGTAATTTAATATTAATATAATCATTTATATATTATAATATTTTTATAATTGAGTTAAAATAAAAATGATTTTATTTTGTTGAATTCAATTTCTAAAATTAATTAATATGTGTATTTTGTAATTGAATATGCATTTTTTAGATAAATATTTATTTTAAAATTATATTTTTTATTTATATAATGTCTTAAAATAAATATTCGTTCTTCAATATTTATTTTTTTATCACCATTTTTGAAATTTATCAATAACATATAATGATTCATATCTAGTGGCATAATCTCTTTCGGATGATGGTTTAATAGGATAATCCCATTCTCCAATATTAAAAGTCTTACCAATATCACCTAATAAAAATGTATTATAAATCATAGTCATTCCAAATAAAAACCAGGCTAGTCTATAACTTAAATATACGAAAGATAAATGTGTTTTATATTTGAAATTGTGTTCTTCTTCAAGTGCAATATGATCACCAGCATATTTGATTACTAAGTTTCTCCATGCACCTCTAAAATATTGATATTTTTTATTTTTTTAATTAAATAAATGGTAAATATTATTTTTTTAAAATATTTATATATTAATATTTTTTTTTTATTATATTATTTTTATGTAGGAACCTTCTTCCTAAGTAATAATGTGTTTCAGATTAGTATCTTCTTAAAAAGTTGGCATCATATTTTTCTAAATATTTATAATATGAATAATTTGAGTTAACTTTGAAGAACCTATTCATTTTTTATTTATTATATTATATTATATTTTGCTTTTTCTTTATTTTATATTTAAATGAAGGAAAAAAAATAATAATAATAATAAAATAAATATATTTTTATTTTATATATATAAACAATATTTTTTTTAATTTTTTGTATATTTGTGTTTTGTGTTATTGTTTATTTTGAATACTTATTTAATTAATAAATTAAAATATGAGTTTGTAAAAAAAGAAAAGAAAAAAATTTAATTATTTTATTTAAACTTTCATTTTATTAAATAAACAAATTAAAATTTATTTAATAAAAAAATTTATTTATATTTAATTTAAATTTATTTATTTAATTTCAATTTTTTTATAATTTTTAATTTTTACTTTAAAATAATAAATAAAATGAAAAAAATATATCTTATTATTATTTTATTATTAATTCGCTGAAATCATTAAAATAAATAAAATTAAACTTGAAACAAATAATATTTAAATACGTGCAAAAATATTTAAAACAATATATAAAATATGTAAATAAAATATATAAAGTAAAATTTTAAAGATATTAAAAAATAAACTAAAAAAAATGCATATAAATTTATAAATTGGCCTATCAAAAATAAATTGTATTTTAAAAAAAAAAAAACAAAAAAAAACTTTAAAAAAATCCATTTTAATAAATAAGTATAAAAAAAATAATAATATAAAAAATAAAATAATTTTAATAATATGATATCTAATTGTTTACGCAAAATATCTCTATGTTAAAAATAAAGATTATTATTCAAAATTCATCAATAAGATTTTTCATCTTAGAGTTTATAAAACCTCTCCATAGGAGTTCCAAAAGAAGTATATCCTAACGAAAAGAGAGTTTCAATAGTACCTGAAGCAGTCGAAAGATTATTAAAAGCCGGTTACAAGTAAATAAATATAGAGAAATCTGCTGGTCAATAAGCTAGTGTTCCTGATGATGTGTATGAGAAAATTGGAGCAAAGTTAGTTTCTACAGAAGAAGTTTACAAATCAGATATTGTTTTGAAAGTGAGACCTCCATAAATACATCCAGAATTAAAAAAACACGAAATAGATTTAATGAAGCCTAACTCTAAGTTAGTATCTTTCCTTCATCCTACTTAAAATAAAGACTTAATTGAGAAATTGAACTAGAAAAAAATTACGTGTCTCGCCATGGATTAAGTTCCTAGAATGACCAAAGCTTAAACTTTTGATGCCTTATCTTCTATGGCCAATATAGCCGGATATAAAGCTGTTATTGAAGCCGCCACTCATTTCGGGCGATTTTTTACAGGATAAATGACTGCTGCGGGAAAACTTCCACCTGCAAAAGTACTTGTTATAGGAGGAGGAGTAGCTGGTTTATCAGCAATTGCTACTGCTAGAAGCTTAGGAGCTATAGTAAGAGCTTTTGATACTAGAGAGGCTGTTAAGGAATAAGTAAAGTCGTTAGGTGCTGAATTTTTGGAAATAAAATTAAAGGAATCAGGAGAAGGGACAGGTGGTTATGCTAAGGAAATGTCTCCTGAATTTATTGCGGCTGAAATGAAACTTTTCATGGATTAAGCAAAAGAAGTAGATATAATAATTACTACAGCATTAATTCCTGGAAAAAAAGCACCAACTTTAATTACTAAAGAAATGGTAGAAGCGATGAGACCAGGAAGTGTAATTGTTGATTTAGCAGCTGAAAATGGAGGTAATTGTGAATATACTTAAAAAGATTAAGTTATTAAACATAATGGAGTTACAGTTGTTGGTTTAACTGATTTACCTAGTAGAATGAGTGGATCAGCCTCAAGTTTATATAGTAATAATATTTCTAAGTTTCTTTTACATCTTAGTGATAAAGATAAAAATTTTGATATTGATTTAGAAGATCCTATTACTAGAGGGGCTATTGTTACACATGAAGGCAAATTATTATGGCCTAATCCTAATCCTCCTATGTTAGATGCGGTGAAAAAACCTATGGAAAAATAACCTGTTTAGTAATAATAATAACCAGTTAATTTATACTAGAAAACTCTCAAAAATTCACTTTATACTACTCTTTCGTTATCTTCTTTATTAGGATTAGGAGTCTTGTGCCCTGATCCGGCATTTTTAACTATGACTACTATTTTCTCTTTGGCTGTTGTTGCTGGTTATTAGTCTGTTTGGGGAGTTGTGCCTGCTTTACATACACCTTTGATGTCTATTACTAATGCTATTTCGGGTGTAACTGCTGTTGGAGGTCTTCTTTTATTAGGAGGAGGTTTTGTACCACATTCAGTAGCTTAAGCTTTGGCGGCTAGTGCTGTTCTTTTATCTGCCACTAATATTGTAGGTGGATTTACTATTACTAAGAGAATGCTTGATATGTTTAAAAGAAAAACAGATCCTGCAGAATATAATTATATGTATTCAATCCCTACCCTTGGAAGTGTTGGATGCTTATTAGCTGCCCATTTTGCGGCTATTCCTTCCGTATATACTATGGGATATTTAGCTTCAAGTCTATGTTGTATTGGAGGAATCTCAGGTTTGGCATCATAAAAAACTTCCCGTGTAGGAAATGCTTTGGGAATTATGGGTGTTTCTACAGGTGTCGTTACTGCTTTATTGGCTATGAATTTCTCTTTCCCGGTTCTTGTTTAGGCTTTATCTCTTTTAGGAGTTGCTGGTGTTGCTGGAAGATATATTGGATAATAAGTAAAGGTAACTGAGTTGCCTTAAACAGTTGCCGCTTTTCATGCTTTAGTTGGTTTGGCTGCTGTAACTACATCTATAGCATCTTTTATGATGGATTTAAATCCTACTACTTTACATACCGTAGCTGCTTACTTTGGTACTTTTATTGGAGGAATTACTTTTACGGGATCTATTGCAGCCTTTATTAAACTTTCAGGAATGAAGTTTACTTTTGATCTTCCTATGAAAAATAATTTGAATAAGCCTTTAGCTTTGTTAAATATAATTGGTTTAACTGCTATGTTAGCCACATAATCACCTACTTTAGGTCTTTTGGCACTTTTAAATGCTACTTTTACATCTTTTGCTTTAGGTTGGAATATTACTAATTCTATTGGATCAGCTGATATGCCTGTTGCTATTACTGTTTTAAATTCTTACTCAGGATGGGCTTTATGTGCAGAAGGTTTTATGCTTGGAAATCCTATGTTGACTATTGTGGGTTCTCTTATTGGAAGTTCTGGTGCTATTCTATCTTATATAATGTGCAAGGCAATGAATAGATCGCTTTATAATGTCATTTTTGGAACTTGGGTTGCACCTAAGACTGATTAATTATAGAAAAGTTAAGAAAAGAAAGTTCATTAAGAAACTAATGCCGATACAGTTAGTGAACTTCTTTCTTAATCAAAATCTGTTATTATTGTCCCTGGATATGGTATGGCAGTTGCTTAAGCATAATATCCTATTTATGAAATCTGTAAAATACTTATCTCTAATGGAGTTAAAGTTAGATTTGCTATTCACCCTGTTGCTGGAAGAATGCCTGGTTAACTTAATGTACTTTTAGCAGAAGTAGGAGTACCATATGATATTGTACATGAAATGGAAGAAATTAACCATGATTTCGAAAATACTGATGTTGTTCTAGTTTGCGGAGCTAATGATATTGTCAATTCGAGTGCTGTAGAAGACCCAGAATCACCTATTGCTGGTATGCCTGTTTTGGAAGTTTGGAAAGCTAAAACTGTAATTATTAATAAAAGATCTATGGGTACTGGATATGCTGATATTGATAATCCACTTTTCTATAAGTAAAATGCTTAAATGTTGTTGGGTGGAGCTAAAGATGTTTGTGATAAAGTTAAAGCCAATTTAGAAAATATTTATAAATAATGAATTTAATGTTTTTTTTATTTTATTATTATTTAGAAACATATATTTATTTCAATTGAATTTTTCAATATATAGTATTTTTTTACAATTTTTTTTTTTAAATAAAATAAATGATGAAAATATTTAAATAATATCTATCTCCTTTTTTATTTATTTTGCAAATTTATTTTTTTTAGAATAAAAAAAATGGCTATGCAAAATAAAAAAAGAGTAAGAAAAACCTACACATATATTAATAAAGAAATAAAAAACAAAAAAAAGTAAAAATAAATACTTTTTTTTATTATAAAAAATAAAGATATTAGCACTTTCTTCATTTCTTCTTAGACATTAATTTTCTTACGTAAAATTCAAGTTCTTTTCCTTCTAAAATATAACCATCACACCTTCCAGATTATCCAGGTCTTGAAGAAATACAAGCAAGTATTCTTTAAGAAGGGAACTATTCTTCAACTTTAGGATCAATGACTCTAGTTTTTTGTCTTTTAACTCTCTTTTCAACATGTCTGGATTTTTCTTTATTTCCTAAAACTGATTAGACTCCTCCTCCTTTCTTAAGACCAATATCTAATCCATAATATTTTTTGTACCATTCTCTGAATGGAGTGGCATTGATTTCTACAATAGAATTTTTAACAAGAGTTTTAGTTCTAACCAATTCGTTGTTTGTTGCGTTATATTTAACATCCAAAATTTTAGTCTTTTTTTTACAAAAAATTAAATTAAAAATATAATAATTTATAAATAAAATTATAATATTTACTTTTCTTGTTATATTTTCAGAACCCATGAAAAATTACCATCAAATAATCTTAAAGCTCTAAATTTCATATTTCCACCTCTAGCTCTAATGGGTCTAATTCTTCTTTTTTCAGTTATTGTGGTTGATTGAGTTGTTAATTTTGTTAATGCTGCTGGTCTTCCTTTTTCGAAAGCTCTCTTCTTTTTGTGAATAGGCATACGACCTCCTGTTGCTCTTCTTTTATGACGGCTATCTCTTGAAATTCCCATTTGTTTTTTTATTTTATTTTCTTTCTTTCTAATTTTAATTTTATTATTATAAATATATATTTAGTTTTTATTTATAAGTGTTTTTACTTTGTATTTTTTTCTTTATATTATTAATAAAAGGAAAATATAAAAAAAATCTTTTTATTTATTTTTTATACCTTTAATTTTTATTTAATATTTAACTTAATTTTATAATTAATATTTGATATATTTTTTTAGTATTATAATATATTTAAAAAGTATTTTAATAATTTATCTAAATTTTATAAGAAGAAATATTAAAATTTGAAAGTATTTAGATTATAAATATATTATAAAGTAGAATTTTTTTTTTAATTTATGATTTTAATATTTTTCATTATTTTTATTTATATAATTTTATTAAAATTTAAATTATAATTAATTTTTAGCTGTTATGTTTTTATTTTATTTTTATTTTTTTAAAAAAATTATGATTAATATCTAATTAAATTTAAGAAAATGAAAAATAAATATTAATTAATGTATAAAGATATGTCTTTTTGTTTAAAAATATTTTATGTAAAAGTACTTATTTATATTAAAATGGTATTTTTATTAAAAAAAAATTGCATAATTTATTATTTCTTTAAAAAAAACTAAGAATAAAATATTATTGAAAATTTTATTTTTATTAAATGAGAGTTTACATTAGTTAAACTATTATAAATATGAATTTCTTAAATATGTATAAATAAATATTATGTTTAATAATATAAAAATATTTCAATAAATTTAATTTATAAATTTTCAATATTCTTTTAAAAAAAAGCATTTAATTAAAATAAAATTACAATTTTAAAGTTTAAAAACAACTAAAATATTAAAGAAAATTGACAAAATTATTCTTATATTTTAAAGTATAAATTAAAATTTGATAATATTAAAAAATAATATTATTTATATATATATTTTAAAAAAAAAAAAAAATTAAAAAAAAATAGAAAAAAAGTAAAAATATAATAAAAAATTCTTTTATTTTTTTAAAAATAAAAAATAATAATAGATGATATATATATAATATATATAAACTTCGACTTAATAATTTTATAAACCAATCAATATTGAAAATATAAAATATCGCTTCAAAAAGCTATATTTTATATATCTTAAGATTAGTATTCAATACTTTAGATGATCTTAGCATTTTGATAATTATTTTTAATAGGGAAACAAAGGTTATATTAAGGTATTTCTTTATTGTTTATTTCACAACATTCTATATTTATTTCATTATCATTTAAATCATTATTAATAATATTCTTTAGAGTATGATCGAGAATGTCTTTTCTGAAATATTTTCCAAAACTTTTTTCAAGTACTAATCGATAATATAATGCTTTTTATTTCTAAACTTGTATTTTTCTAATGTTTTTAATAAAAGTACGGATGCTTTAAGGACTAAAATTATCAACTATTGCACTTAATAGAATTGATTAATAAAGCTATTGTGTGTTTTCTCCGTTTTTCAAAGAAACTTCCATATATTAAACATCATATTTTGTTATCAAAGACATTACTTACTATTAACTAATTTACCTTCGTATATATATAAATATATATTTTTATTGATATAAGTTATATGTTATTTTTTATTTTAAACCTTTATAAATCTGTTTTGTTTCCTATCAAAAATAAAGGATACTTCTACTTCTAAAAACTAAAGAAAATATTGTTTATATTCTAAATAGATTTTCTATCTATATAGAATATATTTAAATTAATTTATTAAAAATAAATTAGTTTTATAAGAGTAAGAATATGTAAATATATTCATATTTTTCCCCAAAAAAAAAAATACCGCTAAGATCAATAAGTACAATAATAACCTTAATATTTTCAATAGTCTTTAAAGTATATTAATTTTATTTAAATTCACCCCTATTTATCCAATATCTAATTCTAAAATTCATACTATTATTCAATTGATACATGCATCTTGTTGTGTTAATTCTGTTTGCCTTTGAGTTCTTTTATTCAAATATAAATTATTTAAAATTAAATTATACTTATTCTTATTTATTTTTATTATTTTATTACTCTCTTTAAGTCTCTTTCGTCTTCTTACGTATTCGTTAGCATGTTTCTGAGTGATTATTTACCCACGTTTTGGTTTCCTAATATTATAATATCTAAAGTAGATTAAACTTGGTTCATAAAAATGTAGTCGAAGTCTGATAAATGTGTTCTTATGATTGTGGAGGATTTTTATACTCAATTTCGATGACTTTTTTTAATTAATTTTGTTTTTTATATTCAGTTCGCTTTAAAGCTTTTTTTGTTGCTTTTTTTGCTTTTTAGTTTTTTTTTTTTTTTTAAAAAATAAATTATAATATATAAAGAGGAAAAAAAATATAGATATTATAAAATAGCATAATTTATTCTTTTATAGAAAAATAAAAATAATAATAAATTTATAAAAGTGCATAGTACAAAATAAAAAAATTAAAAATTCATTTGTTATGATTGAATTTAAAATTTAAATATTAGACAATTTTTATATTCACATAAAATTTTCGGTTCTTAATATTAATCTAGTAATGGGTAATTTTTAAATAATATTTTGTTTTAAAATTAATAATTCAAATTAATTATTTTTTTTATTAATAAATAGACTTAAAAAAAATGATAAATTATTTTTAAATGAAATAAAAAATAATATAATACTTATAAGTTAATTTTTATTTATTGACTTATATTACTTATTTATATATAAATACATATTTTTAATATAACTTATATTAATCATTTGTTTGATAAAATTTATTTCATAGACAAATTTTATAATTATTTAAATATTTAGAAACTCGTTAATTTATATATATTATTTTATAATATATATTTTCCATATTTATTTTATTTATATTATTAATTATAGTTCATTATGTCTTAAATTAATTTATTTTCCTTCATTGCTGACAAAGAGACCATATATAACTCTCTCTAAAATTAATAAATTAGCCTTCTTAATGGGAAATGAGGTTATACAAAAGTAATGACATTTTTTTAAATTTTTGTTACCTTTTTGTAATACTTGGGAAAGGGAAATAAATATTATTTTTTTAATATCAAAAATTTTTAATTATAAACATAATTTTAATGTACATTATTTCAAAATAATTTTATATATCAAATTGATTATTGAACTTATAAAATAATTAAATTATTGTAAGTAATTCGAAAAAATATACGTATTCATGTTTCAATATTGTAAAATATAATAAATAAATTATTAGTTAAGCATATATACTATATTTATTCAGTATATTATAAAAATTTAAATAAAATATAGTAGTTATTATTAAAAAATAAGAAACGAATGATATAAAAGAAGTAAATTGAAGGAAGGATAAGATTATACAATAGAACTAAAAATAAATCGAGATAAGAGTTATAAAACGGAATTAGTTATAGTTAGCTTTACAGTAATTATTCATATAATTATATTTAAAAAATACTATATCGATTGATTGAATAAAAATTAAAAATATAATTTAATTTTTTTGCGTTTAAAAAAAAATAAATTAAGTTAATTTAAATATTTAGAAATAATTTTATTTTGTATAATATTAAAAATAAATTTCATTTCATTAAAAATAGTATTAATAAAAAAATATTAATCTTTTCATAATAATTGTTTCATTATTTAAATATTAATAAAATAAAATCGTCAATTCTTTTTTAAGTGAAATAATTTAAAATTCTTAAAATATTTAATTATTAAATATATTTATATATTTTTTTATATATATTAAAGTTCGACAATAGTTTTATATAGATTTTAATTAATATTAATTAAAAATTAGAAATAAGTTTAAATTTTCAATAACCTATTTTCGAATTGATAAAAAAAATATTATTAAAAGACTTTTTTATATATTATTACTTATGTATTTATTTTAAAAATATTTCATGTTTAATATATCTTTTTATAATTCGTAAAGTTTAAAAAATTATGCTTTCTATCTATATAATGATAATTATAATTTTCAGAAAATATTTTGCGAATATCACAAATTTGCATTAATAATCTTTTTTACATAAAATATAATAAGATATATATAAATATATATATATTCTTGTTTATAATAAATTTAATTTATTTAAAAAAAAATTATTATAATAGTCATATTAACAATATATTATTGCATTCATTTTTTAATATTTTTTTTTTAATTATATAATGAAGATTTTAATTAATGGCCAATTTCGATTTCATATAAGCTTTGAATATTTAATATAAATTATATATAAAAGTTAATATTTTAATTTTTATATATATATTTTTTTTATTATTACAAATAAATTATATGATAATAAAATTTAATTAAATTCATAAATCATTTAAAAAAATAAAAATTGAATCTAAACTTATAGAATTAAAGTATGGTTTTGTATTTTTAAAGAAAATAAAATGTCAGTTTTTATAATTTTTTTTTTTTTTCATATTATTATCAATTAATTATATAAGTTTTTAATATATATAATAAATATTATAAAAAAAATAAAATAAATATAAAAATAATTTTTATATATTAATATAATATATAATATATATTTTTGCATTTTTAATTAAAAAAAGATATATTTATTAATTTATATAAAAAATATGTCAACTTGTTGTGTTAAATATATATAATTTATATATATGTTTAAATTTTACATTTAAAATATTATATTTACTTCTATAGAATTGCCAGAATTGTTTTCATGGAAAAACTAAAAATAATCTATTCTTATTTTAGCAACCTTAAATGCGTTATTTTTTTCGATATATCTTAATGATTAAGGATTATTCGCTTCTTTACTTAGTTTTGCATTCATATTTACTTTGCTCAATATTGCTTATTTATTATTACTTAAATTTGTTTTGAAAACTAAAAATTCGTAATATAAAAAAGATATATTTATATGTTTTTCAATATAAAATATTAAAAAAAAAATATATAGAGATGAAGATGAAGATTACCTATTTGTAACTGAAGAAACAATTTAACTTTACATTATTTAGATATTGAATATTAAGACTGCAGTTACATAATTTTTCAAAAAAACTCACTAGTCAACTGATTTATAAATAAAAGTAACAAAAAAAAATATCAATTTATATATTAATTAATTCTAAATACTTATTATTTTTGATTAATTAAAATAAAAGTTGATTGTTGGATTATATTTACTTTCTAACTTTATTTGTTAATTTAGTTTGACATTTACAGCTTGTCTACTTATTAATACTTTATTTACATATGGATATTTAACAAGTGTATTAAAAATAGATTTTTGTTAATAATATTAATAATATAGAGGTATTCTATATCTTATAAAATTATTTTATAATTATATATATTTTTTTTATATTAGACATAGCATTTAAATAATATTAAAACTTTAGTTCTAAAATTCCTAAGTATACCACTACTTAAGAAAAAAAAAATAATGAAGAGAGTTTATTAACATATATATATTTATATATGATATATATTTAAAAAAAAATTAAAAATATTAAATTAGTAATAAAAATTATTTGAACTTTAAATAAATATATAAATAAACAAACGAAAGTTGATTTAATTAAAGCTTATATAAAATACAAAAACAAATATATATTATTTTTGTTTATTTTCATTCGTTATTTACTTATAGAAGTGTTTAAATAATAACTTTATTTATGTAAGAGTTGTATTTAATGTATTAACCTTAGATATAAACTTTTTTAATTTCCTAAAAAAAAAAAAAAATTTAAATTTAAAAAAAAAAAAAACTTTTCTATTTAATTTTAATAATGTAATCATTTTCTATGACATTTCTATGTAAAATCTCAAAATCTGTATATAATATAGATAACCAAAATAAAATATATATTTACATCTTTTTCTCCTAATCTCAATAAAACACAATTTCTTTAATTTAAAGTTAGATTATTGTCTTAAAGTAATTAATTATCTTCCTAATAAATTAAATTATATTAAAATATATATATAAAATTTAAACTAAAAAAAGCTACTTCAATATTAGTCTTATATAATTACATTTAATTCTAACAAACTTAATTTATTTTATTCCACATATCGATTTCATTTTGTATAGAAATAGGCGGAGTTTTTTTAGGCTTGTAAAATTTACTGTCATTATTTTCTTATTATTATTCTTATAAATTGCTTAATAGAAGTAATTTTTATTAATCTCTAATAAGAATAAATCTAATATATCCCATAAATTCAATAACATTAGTCTCTTAATAGTTTTCTTGAATTCTAAAAATCTTCAGATCGGGAAGTTCACCTCCCATCATTTCTATTTTTCTAGCTAAAGTAGGATCGTCTTAATCAAAATTTAACTTTAAAGCTACTTCATTTGCATCATTATTCATATTAATAAATCCATAATTAAGGAAAATCTCGAGTTGCATTTTTACCCATAAGAGTCATATACTTAATCCCCTCGAGGAATATCTTCTAAAGCTTCAATTATAAAACCTTGTCTATTATCATCGTATTACCAAGAGGTTTATTTCGGTCTTCTGTGATTCAACATATCTGCCAAAGGCACAAAAGCATCAGTTTTTTATCCATCTATTTAAAGACCGAAAACTCTTGAAGAAGCAGTAATTCTTGCCCAACAAAAGTCTTGGAATGTGTTTATTGCAAACTCTGGAGCTATTGAGCATATATCATCATAATCTCTTTTTATATCAGCTTTTTTTTCAAGTACTTAATTCAAAAATGGAGAACCGGAAAGCCATTCGAGATCTTCTTCTGGGAAAAATATAGGATATTGATTATAATCACTTGGAAGAATATTTATATAAATAGACCAAAGTGAGTCAGGATTTCTTTTTTCTTATAATAAAAATGTGGATAAGTAGGAATGCTTTGGGGATAATAAATTTAGCTTTTTTGCTATTATCTTTTTACTTACTGATGTTTATTTGGACATTTCTAATGTTATTAAATGAGATTTTGGAATAAATAGTATTATTTATTTATTCTTTTTATTATTTTACAAAAAAGTAATAAATATTATTTTTTTACATAAATTTTTCTTCGTGTATGTACTCCTCTATAATTTTTACAATAGGTTTATATTCTTAAGTTACTGAATTCAGCTTTTCCATCATTTAGCCAATCTAAAAGTTTTTAATGAACTACAATTTCAGGATGATTAGGAGGTAATATATTTAACTTTTTTTTTAATTTTTAATTTAATAATTTTTTAACTTTTTTAAAATATACTTAATTTATTTCTTATTATATTTTTTATTTTAATTATAATAATTCTTCATTTTGATTATCCAATTTTAATCCATTTTCTAATACTTAAAATGACTCCTATTTAAATATATGTATATTTTTTATTTTTATAATTAAAAGAAAACTTCTAATCTATCTAATTATAGTAAAGCTGATGATTCTCTTAAATATGCTTAAATATATTCAGGGTTTAAATTTTTACATTATGTCGCATCTTATAAAGACTCTTCAAATTTTTCTGATAAATAATAAGCCAGAGAGCGATTATGAAAATATGCAAAAGATTAATCATCTAATTTAATTGCTTATGTATATAGTTCTATTGCTTTTAAATAATTTTCATTTTATAACGATTTATTCCCTAATTCCTTTGAATTTTTTATTATATTTTTATAGATAATTTTTGTTGTTGTTGTTATGAGATTAATTTTTTTTAAAAAGTTTAAACTTTTTTACTTTTAATTTATCAGCTTGGACTTGATTTGAAGACTGGTTTTGATTTTAATTGACTTGATTTTTTTTTTTTTTGGGAGCCATTTCAATAATATATTTTTACTTGTTAAATTAATTTTTGCTTTTTTTTTATTTGGAAATAATTTTTTTAATTTGTAATCTTAAAAATAATTGAATTTATTTTAAAAAGATATAATATAAATATTAAAAAAAAAAATATTAATATATATATAAATAAATGTATATATTTTATAATTAATAAAATAAAATAATATATTATTTATTTTTTCTTTTTATTTTTTAAATTTAATCCAAAAAAATAAAAACAAAAGGCTTTTTTATTCAATGTGTCTTTCTATTTTTTTATTTTTTTGATTAAGTTTATTATAGAAAATATGAAAAAAAAACAATGTTAACAATTAATATAACTATTTTCCTTTTTCATTTCTTTAAAAGTTGTTTATTTATTTATTTTTATAAAAGTTTTTAATATTTTAAAAAATGTAGTTAAATAAATTAATTTTAATTTATAGGCAAAATATATTATATTATTATAATATTATAAGATATCATAAAATTTAAAGTTTTTTAAGTTTAATTATGATATGAAGTCATATTTTTCTATTTAATTTTGCTAATTTTTTTTCAATATCCTCATCTAATTTAAGAATATCTTTTAATTTATTTTTTTCAATAACTTAATCGTTTTTACCTTCATCTCCATCATAAGAATAATCTTTATTTTAAAAATTTTAATAAATATAGAGTATTTTATAAATAATTTTAATAATAATAATAAAAATACCTATATCTTTATAATCATTATATAAATAATGTGAGTTATCAAACATTAATTCATCATAATCAAAAGCATGAATTTTTTAATTAATATTTTTATTTTATACTTCTTCCTATTAATTATCATCTATTTTAAAAAAATAAAAAAATTAATTATTATAAAAAAATATTTACCTGATTCTCTTTTAGTTTCTGTTTTCAAATCTAAATCTTCAAAATGTTAAACATTATCTGTGAATATTATTCCTTCTGAAGTCTTCCTTATCCAGGGAGCTTCAGGCTTATTTTCTACTACAGTAGGCTTTATTTATTGTTATGTTTTTAAATTACATATTACAAAATTATTATATATATATATAAAAAAAATACCTATAATTATTATAGTAAATTTTCATCAAAGAATGGAATCATAGATGGTGCTTCAACTTTTGGTAAACAAAAATATAAAGTAACTTACTTATAAAGAAAATTTTTAAAAAATATAAATAACTATTATATAATATAATAAAATTACAAAATCTTTATGCGATTTAAAAGGAGCTTTTAAACTTGGGAAGATTGAGCAAAGTCTATTTTTAACAGGAAATAGCTAAAAGTTATTTAATTCTAAAAATATATATATATAATAAATAAATATATATATATATATATATATATAATAGTATATATATCTATATATATATATATATTAATATATATTTATTAATAAATATATATATTCAAAAATAAAATTACAAATATTATTTGTATTTTTATTTTCAATTTCATCATTTAAAACCAATAAAAGTCCTTCCAAACATTTGACTTTTTCTTCCTCTGGTAATATTTCTTATAATTATATTAAATATTTGAATGCTTCTTGATATTTTTCCATCATAATAAGACAACTGGCACAATTATAATAATACTCATAAATATTATAAGTTTTATTCTAAAATTCATATTCTTCTAGTTCTGAAATATGTACTGCTTCATCATCATCTTCAAGTAATTCGCAAAGATTTTATTCTTTAAGTTTACATTCTTAATTTTTAAATTCGAAACTTTTTTTAAACTTTCTTAAAGCTCCTTCATAGTCTCTTAAATGGAATTTATAGAACCCTTTAAAGAATAAACTATCTGATCTTTTAAAAAAAGCTCCTGACCTTTTTTCGAATTATTTGCTTTATTAAATTTTCTCAAGTGCCTATTCAAAAAAAGAAATTTATTCGATTTCTTGACTTCCTTAAGAGGCAATTTTAAGCGACATAAGGCAAACTTAATCGAATCGAATATCTAAATTTTCCTAATTTAATTCTATTATTTTCTCCATATCTTCTAATGCACTATTTAGTTCTTTAAATACCATATAGCATTTTGCCCTTAGAAGAAGTATATCGCAATTTTTACTTATATTATTTACATGAGAATAAGCTTTTATTGCATCCTCATATGCTCCTATGTTAAATAGTAGATTACCTGCCCATAAATGAATATCAGGGTCTTAAGGTTTTATATTTACAAATTTTTATAAATCTACAAAAGCAGAATTTCTATCACCAATTAAGTGAAAGCATTTCGCACGATTTAAATATGCATTTGAGTAATTTTAGTCGAGATTTATGGCTATTGAAAGATCGTTTATGGCTTATTTTTTACAGTTTATGCAAGCATAAGCTAGTCCTCGAGCATAGTAGTGTTTAGCATTATTGTCTTCTGATTTTTCTATTGCTTTATCAAAGTCTTATATACTGTCGTTTATTTAGTTTAAGGAGAAACGTAAGACTCCTCTATGAAAATATATATTGGCATTTTGATCATTTAACTCTATTCCTTTATCGAGGTTTTTTAAAGCGTTTTATTTGTATTAAATTCGCTTTTATTCGTCGGTTTTGGGGATTAGTTTATTAGTAAATCTTACTAAAGTCATTGCTTTATAGAAGAAAGGTTCCATTTTTTGAGAGAAAAGTTTGTTGGCCTTATTAAAAAAATTCATGGCTTGTTCGAATTAATTGTTTTGGGCACTTAAAATTCCCTCGCATATATATTTGTTATAATTCGAACATTTCTCGAGTTTATTTTCTACAGTTTGTAAATCTAGGAGTGCTTTTTGATGTTTTCCTAAACAAAAATATCCGTAAGAACGATAAGTATACACTAAAGGTTTCAAAAAATCACCCAGATTATATCCTTTTACTAATTTAGATAAATTTTCTATTCCCTCTTAATATTTACGTTTCATTAAAAAAGTTACTCCGTCTGTAAATATTCTAAATTTTTCTAAGGCCTTTTTATCTACGTCTAAAAATTCTGCTCTGGTTATTGTGTGGAATGCTTAATAAAAATCACGTAATTCTATTTTTATTTTAGCTATTTAATATAATGCTTTTGTTACAGCTTTTCGAGAATTATTATGTTTTATAGCCTATTCAAAACATAATATGGCATCATTAAGGTTATCTATTTTAAAAGAAAAAATAAATATATATATATATAAATATATATATATATATATATATATATATATATATTTATATATATATATTTTACTTTATGTATAGTATAATAATCCTTTAAAATAATACGCTTCTGAATTTTTATTATCTTAATTTAATATCTATATTTTATTTTTTAAATATTTATCAATTTTTTTTTACTATTTATAAATCTTATTTCGCGTTATCATATTATTTTGCTTCTATATAAGTTATTGCTCTTTTTAAAATTGCTACTTACCCAATTATTTCTTCTTTTTCTAAGGCTTATGTATAAAGATTTATAGCGCTACTAAATTATCCACTAAATCTTAAACAATCTCCTTTTCCCATATAACCTATTTTATTTATTAAAAAAATAAAAATAGTATTAAAACAAATTAAAAAAGTTATATAAAAATACCTAAACCGCATTAAGGATTTAAATGAATAGCTATATCAAAATCTTAAATTGCTTTTTCAAATCTTTTCATTTTAACTTATAACTTGCCTCTATATATATAAGCATCGTAATATTAAGGATATTACATTATAGCTTTTCCAAGCTATTTATAAATAATATTTATATTTAAGTAAATAAAAAAAAATTTTACTATTTATATAGCTGCATTAATTTCGTTAGTTTTTTTATAAGCAATAGCGATTAATAAAAAAACGTTTTTTTTGAAATTTTCATTTTTTTCTAATAAATCACAGAATTATTCTATAGCTTTAGAATATTAATTAAAAGATAAGAAACAAACTCCTAATAAATATTAACTTTCAAGCATCATTTGATCTTCTTTAAGTGCTTCATTGAAACATTTTAAAGCTTCTTCAATGTTGTTCTCTTTAAATAATTATTTACCTTTTTAGAAAAATTCAATTGCGGCTTTATTTAAAATAGGTTGTTTTGGAATTTTTTATAAAGTATAATAATTATCTTCTTTTTAAAAAGACATAGATAAATTATTTGCATTATAATTACTCATATTTTATTATTTTTATTGCGGAGGATATAATTATTGTTATTATTAAAAATAAAATTAACCATTAACTGATTTATTGGCTCTTTATCTATTTTATTGTGGTTTTGTGGAATTATATTCATTTTTATAATAATAGTTTGGAGCATTTACTTATTATATTTAAACACTTTAGTTTGATAAGTAATTTATTTATTAGTTTTTTTATATTTTTTTAGTATTATTATTGATGTTGTTTATATTCTTATATGTATTTTATGCTCGAAATCCGCTTATATGTTTTGATGTATTTGATGATAGTGTTAATTTATTGGTTTACTTTTGCTAAAATGATGTATCTTATGTATGAGATATGGTCCTTGAATGATGAAAACTTTAACATTTATCAGGTGAAGAATTGTCTATTTTTTAATTAAAATTTCATATATATATATAAATATTGCGATTTTACTATTTTTTTTAAGTCTTTTTATATGACACGTTATGAGGATTATTTTTTCTTACATTCTTTATCAAACGGAGTTATGCATTTTCTCAATATTAAATCGTTTTAATTAATGGGATATTAATTATTTATGTTTTTTTATTTTAAAATCTTTTTTTCAATTTATTATTATTATTAATATTATTGTAGGTTTTGAGGAAAAAATTAAAGGCAATTTTGAGCGGTTGCAGTTGATTTTGAACGTGAATGTTTTGCAGAATTTTCTTTTAAAAATAAAGATTATTTATGCATTTTTTTATATTTTTTTTATAATAAAAAACAAAAATATAAAAATTAAATTACTCTGTTATTTTAAATTTTTTTTAATTTTTTTTTTTAACTTTTTAATTTGAAATAAAAAAACAATAATAAGTATTAAATGCATGTATTAGTAATTTATTTTAAATAATAAACAGAAAGTTTAAAATTAATTAAAATTAAAAATTAATATTTCATTTTTTGTTTTTTTAATTCTCCTCATCATCTTTTAAATTTTTATCTTTAATAACTTCATTTAAGTAAGAATTGACTTCATCTAAAACACATTCTATCTATTCATTTATATTTTATCCATCTTCACCTTAATTTGATAATATCCATCTCTCTTCAATATTAATTTATTCAAGACAATAAGTATGGTATAACATTTATTTATTAATTAAATGAAGCATTAAAAACTAAAAAAAAATTAATAATTTTTGTTATATATTTATAATTTATATAATATAATTTATATGCTATAAATAATCAAAAAGTATTGTTTTTGTTAAAAAATAAAACAAAATATATATATAAAAAAAAAAATATATATATAAATATATATTTATATATTATTATATATATATTTATATGTATATTTATATGTATATGTATATTTATATTTATATGTATATATTTTTTTTACTCTTAGATCTTCTTCTCTATTTAAATAATACTTTATAAAATATTATTTAAAACTGTATTCTTGACTTTTTCTATTTTATTATTATTATTCAAATTTATTTTTTTTCTTTGTTGCACTATTTGCTTTAGTATTCATTTATAAATTTTCTAATCTTTACCTTTCTATTGTATAAGCTTCTTAGTATTATTACATTTTAATTAGCACTGATTCACTTTCATATAGATAAAAAGATAAAAGTCCTTAAATTCTTTATAAAAATGTTAAGTTTTTATAAATTGGGTCTAATTTATCAATATATTTATTTATTTATTTTTCTTCTTCTGTCAAATCTTAATTATAATTATATTCTAGCTAATATTTAAATATATTTAAATATAATTATTATTAATAATATTTAATGTACTTTAACTTAAATAGAATTATATCTACATTTATTCATTTTAATTAAATTATCTGCAAATCTAAATACAACTTAAGGAAAATAAGAATCACAGTTTTTGATATTTTCATTAATATTATTATCTTTTATATTTTCCATATTATTATATAACGTATTATTTTAGGATGATTTTTGCAAATAATTTTTTTCATTAATAATAATTTTATAAAAGCTTCTATCATTTTCATCTTTTATTTATTCATCTTAAAAAACTTGAATTGTAATCGCTTAATTGGCTATTTTTCTACTCTTTACCACTTGATAAGAAGTTAATAGTTTATTTATTGTTTATGATCTTCTTGATTTTTATTTAAATATCTTCTTTCGTTCAGTTATTTCGTCTTCTATATTTTCTTAATGTTTTTATTCTTTTTCTTATAAATTTTTTTATTATTAATTGTTTTATATTATTTATGTGAATTTCTTTTCCTATTTTTATTCCTTTTCATTATCATATTTTTTTTTGTTATTTTAAATACTTTAATATTTTTTTTAATCTTTTTATATTCTTTATATTCTTATATCTTCTTCTGTCATAAAATACTTCTCGCAATGTTTATTTATGTTTTTATTGAATTTGAATGTTTTTGAAAATGAAAAATATTATAATTCATCTAATTATTATATAAATTCTTGCAATTGTTTTATACTTTTTTAATGTTGATTTAATAATTATTCTATTTGTTTGTATCTTACTTAAGAGTTTTACTAATTTCCAAATATAAATCTTTTTAATGATGCAAAAAAGCTAATATTTTCTTTTTATTATTACATTTTTTATAATATTTTTTGAAATAAAATTTAAAGAAATTATCTATATTTATAATAAAAAATTATAAAATTTAAATTATATTTATATTATTTTTTTTTAAAAAATAAAATATAATTGATTTCTAGATATTTATTTAAATAATAAAAATAAATTTTATTAGTTTATATTTGTTATTTATTTTAAATAAAATAAAATAAGATAAGTTAAAAATTTATATTTTTATATTTTTATATTTAAATATACTTAATTTAATATTTTATTTTTTTAAAAAAAGAAGTCAATATATTATTTTAAAAAATAAAATATAATATAATTGCCTATAATTCTAACAATAAAAAAAAAAAAAATGACATATAAATTTTTTTTTTTTTTTTTAATAATAATAAATATAAAAACGCAATAATAAAAATTATTTAAAGACATTCCCATAAATAAGCCTACTTAGATAATTATAAATAATTAGCTTAAGTAAAATATGTATTAATTTAGTCTCTCAGAAATTAATAAGACTAAAGAAATTTAAATTAAATTAAAGGATATATAAGATTATCATAATTATCCTTAAATGCATATATTTAATAATTATGAGTCTGCATTATAACTTGTAAAACATTTGGAAATTAATTAATTTGACTATTAATATAGCTAATATTAATAAATTTGCTTATTTTCCCTTTTAGAAATATGTACAATATACCTTTCTGAAACTCTTAATTATTACATATTAATTTAAGAAGGTGAACAAAATCTCCAAATAGAAATATAAGTTAATGATAAATCTAAAAAAGCAATAAATTTTGAAGAATAATAAATATTGAAAGGTGAAAAAATTGAATTTTAAGTATAAAAAATAAAGCCTTTGCAAATAAGCTAGAAATATTTATTAGAATTTTATATGTTAAATAATTAAAATAGTCTACAATTAAAAAACAATAAAGAAATATAAATATAAATAAAGCCAAATAATTAAGAAGATATTTAATCTTATCAATAAATAGTGCTTTAAAATAATTCTATATTTCAGTTTTATTTTTATTTGGAAAAAACTCCTTCTTTCTTGTAAATTAATATTTTTAATTCGTAAGAAAACAGATTCTAGATAGCATTTAAATCCTCTATTTTTGAAAAAAATAATGTTTTTCCTTTAACTAAAAGTGTTTTTGGAAAAATAGGTTTATAAGGTTTCGAAATAATATAATTTTAGAATCCAAGGAAAGAAATAAATAATTAGATTTGCCATTATAATCTAATTTTAAAGAATAATGTAAAAGATTTTAAAGTTATTATAATTCATTAATTTAATTCGAACAAAGAAAATATTTTTTAAATAGAAAATTAGTAAGAGTTTTAAGTTAAATTACCTTAAAATTATTAAAATTTAGAGTTTATTATTTACGCGTAAGAAAACGTTGAATTTTAATTAGTTTCAGAGATTATTTAAAATGAAAATAATTTTAAATTAAATAATAATAATAATATGCATATATTTTATTATTTTGTTATTGTGACAGCTTTCGTTATTTTAATAATTGCTTTTTGGTATTTAATTTTTATTATTAAGAAGAGAAAAAATGATAAAAATGCTCTTGTTGAAGAGCCAGAACTAATAAATATTTAAGAATCAGAAACATAAAAACATAATTTTTAAATTAATAATAAAGATAAGGAAGATGATAAAAGTACTTAAAATTAATAAGTAAATATTATAGATGATAATTATAAATCAGAATTTAATTAAATCAAGAAAAATAAAAAAATGTGAACAAAAAAACATTTACTAGGAAAAAAATAATTTAAGGATCTTTATAGAAGATTCCTCTTTTGTTTATAATAATACTACCAATAATGAAATTGCTATTAATGGTGATAATAAAAATAATAGATGAATATATTTTTTATTTATATAAGAATTTTTATTTACATATGAATTTTTTTATTTTTATTTATATTTTTTTTTAAAGTTTTGTTTTTAAAACAATTTTCTTAAAAAATATTTTTTTATTTTTTTAATAAAAAAATAATTTATTTAATAAAAAATATATTTTTAAAAAATAATATTTTTATTCTAACCATTTTTATTCCATTTTACTTCTTCAACTAAATATATTATAATTATAATTTGAATTTATATTTTATATATTACTTTTCAAATTATATTAATTAATTTTTTTTTATTATATGATATTAAACATAAAAAAATTATAGCAATCTAAATTGCATTCGTCATAAAATATATTTAAAAAAAAAAATCATTAAGTATATAATTAATTATCATATTAATAAAAAAAAGAACATAAGTTACATTATACGAAGTTATACGAATAGGAATTAAATATATTATCAAGTTCAAAGTTTTATAATATATTTTTTATTATTTGTATTAAATTATATTCATTTTTTTCTAATATTATTAATAGATTTTCATTTTTATTTCTTAAAAATAAATAATAAGAAAATATTAATTTATGATGCTTCTAAATATATAAATATAAAATAAAAAAATTAATTATTAAGATATATAGATATTTTTTAAAATATTTTTAATTATAAAAATTAATATGTACTATAAATATTATAAATATATTTAAATTAAATAATAAATATAATAATTTATATAATCATTAATTATATTCATTTTTAGCACATTTTTTAAAAAATAATCATGTTTTATTCATAAATATAATAACTAAAATTATTAGATATATTTAAAATTATTATTATAATAAATTATTATTTATATATATGTTTATTTTGTATTTTTTTTTGTTTTAAGATTTTTTTATAATATCAAAATTATTATTATTATTATTATTATTATTATTATTATTATTATTATTATTATATTTTTAATTTTTTTAATATATTGTATCTTAATTTTAAAACAGTTATATATTTTTTACAAATAATTTTATATATTGTAATTTTTTATCTTTTCAGTTTATTTAATTTTATTTATAAAAAAATATTATTTTTCATATTTAATTTTTTTCAAAAAATTTTATTCAATTCATATTTTTTTTTATTAATTATATTTTCTAATATTTTTAATTAATATAAAAATTTATTATTAATATATTAAATTCATTTTTTTTAATTTTTTTAATTATATATTAAAATACAAAAAAATGTAAATATCTTTATTCTACTTTTAAAATATTTACTAATTAATATTTAATTAATTTTTTTAATGCTAATAATTATTGAATGTAGAATTTCATAATATAATTATTATTCATTTTATATAATATCAATTATTTTTATATATCTAATATTTTTTTTTAATTATTTAATATTTTAGTCATTATTTTTTTTTTATTTATATAAAAAATTAATTTATAAATAAATAATTTTATATCAAATAAATTATTTTATAGATTAATATGATTAATATAGTTTAAAATCAAAATTGTTAAAATCTTTTTCTAAAAATAATAAATATATATATATAGATATATATATATATATATAAAATTTTAAATACATTTTAATATAATTATTTGTTAACTATTTCATATTTTCATCTATTTTTTTTTCTTCTTCATCATTTTACATAATATTTTCATCATCATTTTTCATAATATTTTCTTCAAACTATAAATTTAAATTATTTTTTTATAATTAAAAATTTATAATTTATTTTTCATAATTATCAATTTTATTAATTTCTTCTTATAAATTATTATTTTAACTATTTATTTTAGATTTTTAACTGCTATTTATATCTAATTACCTATCAACAAAATATCTCATATCGTCTTTAATAAATAATTCTTCAACTTTTTTTTATTCTTAAGTTTAGTTTTTAACCTTTCTTCTAACAAACTTACCTGTAATTTCCAACTAAAATAAAAAATGAAAAAAATTACATTATGCATACATTGCTTATCTTCACTTGATATATTTTTATCTAAAATATTTATTTTATTTGAATATGAACTCGATGTATTTTAAGGGATATTTGATTATTAGTTTTATAGTGATTATATACTTAAAAAGTTTTATTATATTTCATTATTATTTAATTCTATTTTTTATTTATTTTATAATTTTTTTTACAAAAAAATAAAAAATAAAGTTAAAAATAAGTATATACAATCCTGAATAATCCAATCGAATTTATCGTCATATTCATATTTTAATTCTAAGAAAAGTACTCTAAATAGATTTTTAATAAAATTATAATTTGGCTCTTCAGTAAAGGAAAGATTTTTTACATAAATCATATATTTATTGAATTCAAAAGGCATACCTTTACATAATTCTGTTATTTATATTTTTTATTTAATTTAAAGTACCATTTATTATCTTTCTTATTTATTTTTACATTTCAAGTCTATCCAAGGCAATGTTCCATTAAATAAATATATTAAGCAATAACCTAAAGATTCTAAATCATCTTTTCTAGATTATTCATTACCTAAATGAGATTAAATTGAAGTATATCTGGTAGTTCCAATCAATCCAACATTATTTTAAAAAGGGATATGTGTTCCATCTTTTTTAAGAAAATTTTTAGCAAGTCCAAAATCAATCAAAAAAATTAAGTTTTTTTCTTCTTTTCTTCCAATCATGAAATTATCAGGCTTTATGTCTCTATGAATATAATTTTTTTATGTAAATCTTGAATTCTTGTTATCATTTAATCAGCTATCATCAATATTGTTTTTAATTTGAACTTTTTATTACATATATTAAATAAAATCTCTATTGATTTATCTAATAATGATATAACCATTTTACTTGCATCTTTTGTTTTTATAAAATAATGCATTCTTGGGAATCCATATTATCCATTTAATTCATTTAGTATTCGAGCTTCTTTTACTAATATATCATTTTTTAGATCTTCTTCTATTTTTATTGCGTATAAATCATCTCCTATTATATTTAAATGTTTATTTTAAGATTCAGGATTTCGAGAAGCTTTATAAATACTACCAAATGATCCTTATCCGATTTTTTGTATTATTTTATAATTTTAACATACTGTTTTTCCTATCCAATCGCTTATAGGTATTTTTTTTTAATATTAGTCCATTTAAATAAACTAAATTCTTACTTATATATTTTATTATTTAAATTAATAAATATTTATAAAAAAAAAAAAAATTATAATTTAATTAATATTAATTTTTATAAAAAAAATATATGGATGAGGGGGGCATCGATCCCCCTGCCTCTTGAATGCAAATCAAGCGCTCTGCCAATTGAGCTACACACCCACTTATATAAATTATTAACTAAATATTAATTTATTTTTTTATTATTATATATCTATGTATTTATATTTATAAAGTTTTTTTTTTTTTATTGTCATTTATATTTATATTTAAGTAATTATTTTTTTAAAAATAAACTTTTTCAAATTAAACTTTTTTCAAGTAAATATATATATTATATATATAGATATTTAGAAAATACAGAAATTAATATTATATATTTAAAAAAATCTAATTTTAATTAATTCAAATAATTAAACACTAAAAAAATTATCAAAAAAATAACTTATGTACAACTGATGATAAAAAATAAAATGAAAGTTTAGTTTAAATTTATTTTTTTAAGAATCTTATGAAGGATTTTGCTATTTTATATGAAATTATTATCGTTTAATATTATTGCAAAAAACAGTATTAGAGGAATTATTAATATTAATTCTAATAAAAGGACAATTATGTATTAAATATTTATATTTTTTAATCTATAAACTTGCAGGCTTCCATAAATAAAGTTAAATAAATTTAATGCTATAAAAAAAAAAATTGCTACAAGTAATATATCTTTAATTAATTAATATCTTAGTATCTCATAATTTATAAAAATAAAGTTTTTATTTATTTATTTTTTATTTTCCAAAATAGCTAAATTTTATTCACTTACATTTTTCAAATTATCAAAATCTTAAATTGCCATAATTCTATAAAATATAAACTAATTATTTACTTTTTTAAATCAAAATATAATTTTTTTAATTTTACTATTCATTTTATAAATCTTAACTTTCGATGTTTTATAAGCTTTTTGGTGTGTTTGATATTTAAGGAATTATTGAATCCTTTATTATATCATTATTTATATTTTAAGTAATTTTTATTTCACTTTTTAAATCAAGCTATAAAGATTGTTAGTTTTAATCTATTTTTGGTATAATAATTTTATTAAAAATATATATAATAAATAATTACTCATTATTGTTTATTTGTTTATAAGTAATTTTAGAAAAAAAAATAAAAAATCAATAAATAAAATTAAAATTTTAAAATAAAGAATCTCAAAATATATATTTTTTTCTTCTCTATATAATTAATATATATCATAAAACTAAAAGATAAATAAATATTATTAATTTGATTATATTATTTTAAATTAAAAATATATAATTTTAATTCTATTTTATTTATATTTTTTATAGAAACATATAATAAGAAAAAAATAATATTATTTATTTAATCATATTTTACTATTTTGATCAATTAAACTAAATTTTTAATTATCTTTCTATATTTATTTATAAATATTCCCTTAATTTAATTTATCAAAATTATTTCTTTTTTTATAAAAGATTTGGTTAATATATTAAACTACATTATTTAAAGTATTCTAATTATATTAAAATGGTAATTTATTCTATTTTTTATCAAAAAATTTTTTTTAAGTGATTATTAGGAATAAGAAAGATTATTATTCTAAATAATACTATTGCTAATGTTATTTTTTGTATTCTCTATACCAGTTAGTTAAGTAAAATTTTGTTTTAGTTATATTTATGGAGTTTGTATTTTATATATAGGATTTTAAAATAATTATTAGCTTTTGTTTGGATTTTCTAAAGGTTAATTAAAAGGATAGTATCGTGGAGAACTTGATAAAGAATTTTAATTAAAAGTTGAAATATTTGTTTATATTTATTTTTGCTTTTATTTATGACTAAAATATTCTTTTAAATCAACTGTTGGCTTTATATTTTTTATTTTGGCTTCCATAAAAGAATTCCATGTTCCTGCTGTTTTATCTTCTAAACTATTAAAGAAAATATTTTTAAATTTTTAAGATTTTTAGAATGGTTTATGTACATTTTATAATAAAGGCATTTTTAAAAAACTCAACAATTATAGTTATTACTATTACTATTAATATCTAGGTGAAATATATCCTAATTATTATATTTTTGATTAAGTTTTTTTCAAAGATAATTATTTTTGTTCTTAATTTTCAAGTTATTATAATTTATAGTCATTATTTTTTGTTTTATCTACATATTATTATTCATTAGATTAATCATAAGTTCTTTTCGAACATAATTTATTTAATTAGCATTCACTTTTAATTTTTATTTTATAGTGTATTTTTTATTTATTTTTTTACCTATTATAATCACTATGAGTATTATTTTTTTATCTCGGTGATGAACATTTTATTTATGTTCCTTTTTTAGAAAAATGTTTAGTTTAAATATTTTTATAAAAAAAACAAAATAAAAATAAATATTAAAATAAAAAAAAAAAAAGGAAAAAAAAAAAAACTTTTTTTTTAAGATTTTTTTCTTTTTAACTTTATGTTTCAGACTTTTCATAATGGTAAGATTCATTTGAAATGTTATTTTTTTATTCTTCTTTTAAGAATTTCTTTCTTTTATTAATAGTATAAAAATGATATTTAGTATCTTATTTATTAAATGGGGTTATTGGATATTCTTCTATATATTAGTTATTTGTTTATCTATATATATTTTAAAATATTGACAATTAAATTTATATTTAATTTTCTCTATATTTTTTTTTTTCTAAAGTTATTTGTTAAATTTTTTATAATTGTTCGTTATCATTTGCCATTTTTTTCATGAAATCTTTTTTATTTAATATCATAACCTATATATTAATATATTTTTTTTTTAAAAAAAAATAATAAATTAAATGAGCATTATAAAATCACTTAAGCAGTATTAGAAATACACTTAATATTTACTTATCTTTTATCATTTGTAAAAAATTCTTCTTCTCCAAATGTCTAAAAAGCGCCTAAAATACCAATCTTTGTTTTTATTTTATAGTCATATATAATAAATATATTATTTACTTTTAACATTTAAATTTTTGTTTATTTAGCATTTTTGTTAAGAAAACACTATTCTTCATCTTCTATTTTAATTAATACAGATTTAGTAATCTTTTATTTTTATAAATAATAAATATAATTAAAATCTTAAAAATAACCCTAAATTCTCCATTTTTTATAAAATATATTTTATCACTTATTTATCCTTCTTGAATTACGTATTCGTCTTTAACATAATTATTTACTTAAAATAATAAAAATATTTATTTTAAAGTATTCAATTAAAAGAATTAAAATAAAGGACTTTTTTTTAGAATAGTAAGTTCTTCATTTAACTTTGTAATTTAATAAGATTCTTTTTATATTTTTTAAAATAAAACATGTTTTTCTTATTTAAAATTTATACTTAATATTTTATTAAATGAATTTTTATCTAAAGTAATAAAATCACAGTCTTTTAAACAAACTATATTTGCACTTCTTGGATTTTTATCTATCAATGCCAATTCTCCGAAACTTTCTCCTTTTATTTATATATTTATATTGTTTAAAAATAAAAAAATATTGAATTAATTATTAAAACCTTTATTTAATTCCCTTATTTTTACATTTTCAATAATTTCTTACTCTACTATTCCGTTTTTAGTTTCTTATTAAATAATACTTTTAACATCAATATTTACACTTACTGTTCCTCTTAGTATAATATAAAATAAACTTTCAGGCATTCCTTAGATTTTTGTTTTGTTTTTTTTTTCTTAGTAAAAAATTAAATATACCTTATTTAAAAACTATTTAATCTTACTTGATAGAAATATGTTAAAAATATTCAGTACATTCAAGAATTAATTTTTTATTATTTTCTCCGAATTAATTTTTAAAAAATGCTAAGTCTCCAGCACATTTTAATAAAATTTAAATTTCTTTTTAAGTTCTATATTTTTGATCTTTTTTTAATATTTTAATTGCATCCTTTTATTATATTTTTTTATTTAGTAAAAAATGAAAAAAATATACATTTATTAACGTATCTTCTTCTAATATATCTAGTTATAATTAATGGTTTGATACTTAATCGTTTTTTTATTGATTTTTTAACAAATTCTCTTCTATTTATTACTTTTTTTTATTTATTTATTCCTCTGTAAATTCAAATGTTTTCTTTTTTAAAAATAGAGAATTCTATTGTATTTTTGTTTAATTTTATAAAGATAAATCTATTGATCTTTTAACTCTTGGATATATTTCTTCAATCAAATTCATTTTTTCTATATTTATATATATTTAAATGCTTGTTTTTTTACTTATCAATATTAATTTTTATGATTATAAAATGTAAAAAAATAGTTTTTTAAATATATATATTAATAATAATACATAAATAAAAAAACATAAAAAACTTTTATAATATAACAATAAAAAATAATAAAAATGAACAATGAAAAATTAGAATAATTGTAAAAATACAAAAATTAAATAAATCCTGTATTTGAGAAATTAATTTTAGATTTAATAAAAGAAATGCCTCAAGATCATGTAAGAGAAATATAAATAAAAACTTAAAAAAAAAAAAAAAAAGATTAAATTTATCATTGATTGGTTGGAATCAAAAGGAAAATAATAAGACCTTGAAATATAAAAATAACCAATAAAAATTTTTAAACAATTAGTAAAATAAATATAAAAGATTTAAAAATAAATAAAAAAAAGGAAGAAGAAGAAGAAAATTATCATTAATAATTTTTTTCCCCAAAAGGTAAACCTGCAATTCAAGATTTATTACATAAATCCGATGATGAAGAAGATGATGAAGAAGAGTTATTTGACGAAACTTAAATAAAAAGATAAGCAAGTTAAAAACCCGTAAAAAATATGCGAACCAGTGTCAGTGCTGAAGTATATGGAAATTTTAATTAGAAGAAGTCCTATTTTGCAAAAGTAATATAAAAAGATTAAGATTCAAAAAAACGAATTGAACACAGGTTAATGCAAGCATTTATGTTTTCTGCTTTGGATGAGAAAGAAAGAGAAATAGTTATAAATGCAATGGAAGAAGTACGTTTTGCGGCCGGAGAATGGGTAATAAAACAAGGGGAGGATGGAGATAATTTATATGTTGTAGATTCAGGAGAGTTAGATTGTTTTAAAAAGTTTAATAAAAATTCAGATGAAAACACTTATTTAAAAACATATAAACCAGGTGAAGCTTTTGGAGAATTAGCTTTACTTTATAATGCACCAAGGGCAGCTTCTATATAGGCTAAAGTAGATAGCTTGTTATTTAGATTAGATAGGGAATGCTTTAATAATATTGTTAAAGATTCTACATTTAAGAAAAGAGAAAGAATGGAATATACTTTGAAAAAAGTTCAACTTTTGGAATGTATGGATCCTTATGAATTAACTAATTTATGTGATGGTATGAAAGACATTAAATATAAAGCTGGTGAATATATTATTAGAGAAGTATTTTTTTTTTATATTTTTTTAAAAAAAAACAAAATAAAAGGGAGAAGTTGGAAATAATTTTTATATTGTGGAAAGTGGAAATTTAAAAGCTTCAAAAACTGACAGTATTTATTATTTTATATATATATATTATATTTATAATTTTTAGAAAATGGAAAAGAAGAGACTGTTTATGAATATAAAGAAGGTGACTACTTTGGTGAATTGGCTCTTGTCAATAATGTTCCAAGATAGGCTAATGTTATTGCACTAGTAATATATTTAATTATATATTTATAATTTATTAAATTATTTTAAATTTTATTTAAGGATGATTGTAAATTACTTTATTTAGACAGTGATAGCTTTAAAAGATTATTGGGGCCTATAGAGGGTATTCTTTAGAGGAATTAAGAAAGATATTAGAAATATGTTAGAAAAGACAATTGAATTGATAATATTTAAAAATTTAATATTTTACTATTATTACTTTATATACTAATAATTATTTTGTTAGTTAAATAATTTACTATTTTAATTTATTTTAAAATATTTTTAATATATATTATTTAATTTATTAAATATATATATATTTAATATAGTTACAGAATATTAATGACTAATTTTCATTAATATAAACAATTATTATCAATATGTAAAATCGTTTTTATTTGAATACTTATTATTATTAAATAATATTCGAATTATCATTATTCAATTTTATTTATTTTTATTATAAAAAAAACAATATAAATAATAATTTATAATTAATATTAATAGTAAATTACAAATTTATTATAATTTTTTTTTATGATTTTATTTTTACCATTATTTCATTTTTATCATAAAAAATTTAATTCATAATAAAGATCTATTAAAAAAAATAAAATATACTAAACTATTTAGTATGAATAAAAACTATTTAATATTTAATTTGAATATATATAATAATAATGATTTATAAAACAGATTTATTGATTACAAACATATTATATTTTAATTTTTTATTATCTTTATTATTAATAATTTATATTTTATTAAATTTATAAATATTAAATTAAACTAAAGAAAATAAAACATATTTTTGTTTCAATTTTAAATGAAATTTATATATTAAATTAATTTTATTATGATTATAAAAAAATTAAAAAAGTGTATTATATACCCTATCAAAAATAAAAGATAAATTGATATAAAACTTTTATTTCTTAGTTTAAACTTATATATTATAATTTCATAAGGAAAATATTAAATAATTAAATAAAAGACATATTAATAAAAATTAGATACATTTCATAAAATAAAAATTATTTTTAAAAATAATGAATATAAAATAGTAAAAAATTTATAATATATTTGTATTAATTATTTTTTATATTAGTGAAATTTTTATTTAAAAAAAAAGTAAAAAATAATAATATAAATATGTGGTTTGTGATAATATAGTGAAGGTTTGCATTATTTTTGTAAATTAAACTTATTTTGATTTAAATAAAAGTTATATACATTATTATTAATATTATAATAATTTAAATTATTTATATATATATATATAACTATAATAATTATCATTTAAATTAATAGTTATCATTTTTTCTCTAAAGATTTTTATAAACAAACAATTAAGCTTTATATTTTTTTTAATGCAATATTTTTAAAAATAATTAATATATTTTTTTTATTTAAAGACAAGATTAGAAATAAAGAAGGTTTAATAGTTTATTAAAAAATATTACAGTAATTTATTTACTCTTCCATTTATAAATATCTTGAAAAGTACTATAAAATATTTATTAAATTACTCCTAATTATTTCTCTTTTTCTTATTAATATTTTAAAATTGAAATTTTTTATTTTATAAAAAAAAATTGAAGTATATTCATTTATTTTGTATTTTTATTTGAGGTTTGAGTAAAACATATTTTATAATAATAAAATAAATTTAAATTAATTTATTTTTTTTGACCTTAATATATTTTTATTTTAATTTTTTATATGAAAATATGAAATACAAAAATTTTATACTAAATATTTTCTATATTTTTAATATTTAATAATTTTTTTTTTAGAAAAATAAATAAATAATTTTCGTAAAAAAAGTAAAATTAAATATAATCAATAAAAAATTTATTTTAATTTTAATTAAAAATGTAATTTCAAAAAATAAAAAAGGCTTAATATATAAAAATTATATTTTAATTTTTATTCATTTTAAATTAAAATCAAATTTCTTAAATTAAATATATGAGATGGAAACAAAAAAAAAATATAAATTTATATATAATAATTATAAATTTAATAAATATTAATTTAAATTTAAATTTAAATAATTTTAATTTAATTTATAAGACTTATTTTTTAATTATATTAATTTGGCTTTATATTATTATTATTA